ATTTTATAATAATATTTTTCCTACTATAGTCGTTATATTTGTTCTAATTTTGTTTTTATTCATATTATTCAAATTAGGAATTAAATATTATAAATCTAGTTATACTTTTTCAATAGAATATTATTAATATTCTATCTATACAGTTAAATAAAATTGAAGTGTCTGCTTGTAATGTCAAAATAACAGCTTTTTACTAAATATATATGAAATTAAATACGGTATTTATAAGAAAAACATTCTTTTTTAATTTTGTCTGTCTGTCTATCTGTCTATATGTATGTCTATCTGTTTATCTGTTTGTTTTGGCTAATCTCCGAAATGGCGTGACGTATTTTGACGGGGCTTTCACTGGCATATCGCTAGTCCATAATATAATTATTATTTATTTGAATCCTATAAAATTAGACTATAATAAAATATTTATACTTGTGTTTAAAATTGATTGAAATAACACAGTGATTGTTTTAATTTGAAGGAAATTGAACACTAAAACCTTATACGTAGTTAATAGCTCTTAATGGATCATTGCTTTGAATCATAATTACTGAACAAGACCATCCTTCTCGGTTAGTTGGTTCTCACGTGTATCTACGTTTCTACATAAATTAATAGTAATTCAATATGAAATAGCTTTGTTGTCGATAACGTTAATAATAATAATATTTATATATAGGAAGCAATTGTAGATACTCGAAGTATTGTGTATTTTATTTTTCTTCGATCCTAATTCATCAAATTTTTGTATATAGTAATATTACAAAAAGTTCATATAAAATGAATTATATTGAATATGTCAACCAATCTAATAATCTCGAAAAAATATGATTTAATGTTTACTATGTAACTTATATTATTACTAGCAGAACCCGCGGCTTCGCTCGAGCTAAAACTACGAAAATCTCTAAAAAAGTAGGTTCCATACAAACTTTCATTCCCTATTTTACCCCCCTATGGGATGAATTTAAAAAAATGCTAAAACACGTATTTATTTAATTATACTGAATAGCACTTATACCAAGTTCCAAGTTATTGTGTTCATAAATATTTTTTTGAGATGTATTATAACGTATTCTATCGTGGTAATGAGATAATATCCCGCGGTAAAAAGTAGCCTATGTCACTCTCCAGTCCTCCAACTATCTCCACACAAAAAATCACGCCAAGTCGTCTCTCCGTTTCAACGTAAAAGAAGGATAAACAAACAAACACACTTTGACATTTATAATATTAGTATGGATATATGTGACATAGTAAATTTAGATTTAGAAAATAAAAAATATATTTTTAGTTTATATATTATATTAGTATTTTTTTAAACAGAGACGTAGACAAACTACGAGTAAGTTGGATGAATGAATGTATCACAGTAAATAAACAAACATTTATGATTAACGTTAAAAGTAATCATTTCAGCCTTTGGGGTAACATATTAAAAAGAGAGACTTATTCAAGTAAGAAAATGGTAACAAAATCAGAAAGCTGAAAGCTACTGAACTAGAAAACTGTGTTTCAGTTTAACAATACGGGTCGAAGTTTTGTTAAAGTTCATTTTACCTATTTGTTAAAAATTAATTAAATGAGTTCATGTATTGGTAAAAATAATTAAAAAAATATATTACGGACAATTATTCGCAAATATATAGCGAAATATACATAAAAAAGATATACACAATCGAGTACCTATTTTTTTTAAACCGGTCAAAAAATTGACAGGTGATCTCTTGTCTTATTGAGTATATTATAGTATCCCCTCTTGGGCTCCCCTACTATTATAATCTATGTATTTAAGTACTTGAAACTCAGCATTCACTTTTATTAATATGAAAAAGTTTCCAGCTCCATTTTGACGTAAGCTAAACTCAAATGAAGTAAGCCTCAACTTAACTTGGTTATAAAATAAAGTAATTAAAATAAGATTAACTTACCTGCATGCGTCGAGTTGAGCTTTAAGCTGCATTTGGTATAAAACTAACAGTGTCTATAAAATATACGAAATGAAATGTAGGTGCAGAATTTATAATTATTACTACTTATTATAGGTTAAAATAAATGAAAACATAAATAAATGTTATAAATCCCTACATATAATAAAATTGTAACTAAACCGAATCTGTACATTAAATATTTTTTGGAAAATCTTATTGAAATAAACATTATTATCGATACAGAGGCCGAAACTATAGTTTTTAGAATTTTTGTCTGTCTGTCTGTTACCGTATCACAAAAAACCACTAGAGGGATTTTGATGAAATTTAGTATGGTGATAGCTGGTTATCCGGGTCAGCATATAGGATACTTTTTACCGCTTGGAAATATCTTATTTCCGAGAAAAAATACAAAAACTGCAATGTAAGAGTATACTAATTTATATTTAAAAATACATTTTGTGAATTCTTAAATCTTTAATCCAAAAACAATAACTTAAATTCTTCTATAGACATTAGACTTACATGTCCAAATAATTTCAATGCTAGTGATCTAAATCGTAAAAAAAAAATAACAATACGTCAATTATACAGTTATAAGTTATTAATTTTTAACAAATAACTATATAATGAATGAATATGAAAAAAAATTGTTATTTTTCCTTTTTAATTGTACATTAATATTATAATATCACTTGCGGGGGAGAATTTAGAGTCAAGCGTAAGAATATTTACATACCTCTTTCGCTTCTAAAAAGAATATTGAATTCAAGAGCTATTCAAAAGCTCCTCAACCTATTAAATTTTTGACCTTTCACAGTTTTCTTTTTTAATTTATCTTTTTGAACTTATAAACCCCAAACATAACTGTTCGTGCCTTTTAAACACATATACGTATAGTCAAGTATTCCAATTAGTATCAAATTATCCCAAATACTGATTTCAGTACCTATTTAGGTAGTTAATAATATACGATTCACATTATTCCTTTGATATGCCATAATAATGCGAGAACGAATATGTCAAGATAATTCCCTGGTCGCGGCCTTTGCTCATTTTACCGGAAAATTCATTGATGGGACTCTTCAACCCTGTAGCTGACCACTGCCAAATATCGTATTAAAATTTAAATTAAAGAAGCTTTTTATTTTCTTCAATATGACTTGAATTTTAGTTTCATTTTACATAATTTAAATACTTATTAGTATAAATTTTAATTAATAAAACAGCTTTGTTTCTTACTTGAATGGTTTTTAGTGAATGTATATAATTTTCAATTCAATTCAATTTCTTTGTTTAGTGGCTTCTAGGAATATATAATTTAATTTATGTTTGATATCTTCGTATTTTTGGATACCTTATTGCGTATTACTAAAATGGAAAGTATAATATAATATGTTGGAACATTAACACACAACACCATCTAGTTCCATGGTAAGCTACGAGGCTTGTGTTATGGATACAATATAGTTGATACAGTACACATATATAACATTAAATACATACATATTATAAATATAAACACCCATGACTGGAGCACAACATTCGTGCTCATTACACAAATGAATGCCCCCAGCGGGACTCGAACCCGCGACTGCTGGCACAGCAAATAGGGTCACTACAAACTGAACCAAACGTGTCATCCAGTATATACTCGTAAGTTTGAGAGATTTCACGTTACTGATATTAAACTTATTTTTTAGAACGTTGCCTCATAAAATTAAAGTTTTTAATAGATACACTTATTAATTCGTTTTTGTCAACAAATAGTATAACAAAATATTTTTAGAATCTTTTTAAGCTAAAAAAGCAAAGACAGTTAGACAGTACCGTAATATCATAAATCAAAATTTGAATATTTCATTTCATAAACCGAAAAAGGACATATGTAACGAATGTCTTATATATAATACAAAAATCACTATAGAACAAAAGCAAAAACAAGAAAATGATATGAGAAACAAGACTATAGCTAGAGAAATTAAGGCAAGAGATAAAAAATAAACTATAAAAATAAACTATAATCATAAAAATATTTAAAATGCACTATTATATTGCAATACTTGAATATTACTCATTTAAAAATGTACGTGTCGAATTAATTGGCTTACATATTGCCAGTGTCCTGAATATAAAGGTGTGTTAACAATACCTAGAATTAGTAATTGAAATAAGATTATTTTATTTGAAATTCATACATAAAATTCCATATAAACTTTCAGTCCCTGTTTAATTTCTTTAGTCCATAATTTATTTCAAATCATTGATTTACCATTTCAAAAATTTCATTTCTAAGGGATAATCTTCGTTTATAAGGAACGCTATATTATATAATTTTATTACATCACTATTATAAATGTCAAAGTTGAATATATCATGAGTTGAAGCTGAAACAGCTGGATAGATTTTGATGAAATTGGTAAATTTTTTGGATCAACACATAACGTACCTAAGGATGTGAGCGAAGCGAGATTAACTCGTTAGTGGTTTCATAGCGCACCGGTTTAAGCTCTGCGCTCTCAGCTCACTAAATAATTATACAGGTAGATGGAGCCCGCCAAAAAAAATCGAATTCAAAAATAGTAGCGTAATTTGCTGTTTATGATACTATTCTCGATTTTATTATACAGATATTTTACTTTTTTTTACAAAGTAACGAAAATTTTGAATATGTAGTAATCGTTAAATTTCTATTTTTGAGAAGAAAATATGAATAATAATAGTAATACTATATATTTTTTATTCCCTCAACGACCGCGGATACGCCGGCGTGTCAGTTAACAATAGATTTCTTAGAAATTTAATTAATTTATTAGAAATTTACCTAGAGGTGTTAAGCATTAGTTCCCTTCCCCTTGAAAGAGAGATAGCATAATAGAAGCTTATTTAATTTTTTAGGCTTCATGTTTAGTTCTATGACATTCTACCTATATTCTTCTGTCTATTCCTTAGTCTGATTGAGTTCTTGATCTTTCTATAGCAGACACCATGCTCAGCAAGAAGATTACCGTTGCTATCGCCGTCGTTCTAGCCATGGTTTGCTTGGCTGAAGCCCTTGAAGAAGGGCCCCATAACATGGCTGACGCTCTCCGGGTGTTGCAGGAACTTGATCGTCTCTACACTCAGGCTGCTAGACCAAGGTACGTTTAGAACTTTTTGTACTTTCTATACTACTAATACTGTATATAAATATCTCTGATAAAGATTTTATTGATTCTCTTGTATATTTGGTAGGTATGAGAATAAAGTATTTGTCACCCTCCTACCCCCAACCCTCCATTTTTAATCGCGACTTTAGTATTTTTATATAAACAATATTATATAAATATATAGCGACGAACCCTTTTGATCCCGGAAAAATGAACGATTCCCGTGGGATAGATCTGTTTGTGCTTTTCGTTGTTCGAACTCAGGCGAAACGAGGGTGAGCCGCTAGTATATTAATATAATATCTACACACGCTACATACTCTCGCCTAAAACAAAAATATAAATCTAAAAATATAGTTTTATTAGAATCTGAAAATATATTTTATTAGAATCGATCACTACAATATCTATATATTAAAATCTGAAGAGAAAATTGTGTACCCCTTTTAGAGTATAACGCCCGTATGAAAGAGTATAAACTATGGAAAAGTTTTATATAGAGAAATACTGTAGAAAGCTAATATTTTCTGACTTGCATTCGCACGCGGCAACGCTCGTGTAGTTTATTTATGCCTACATCTTTATCAATTTTATACTATTATTTAACTGAAGAGTTTGATTTGTTTGCACATACTAATCTCGATATTATCTCGTGAAATATGGATCCAATTAGAAAAAATCTTTAACTTTCCATATATATAACATCTGTATCATTTTCTGTAACATCTGTATTCCATATATTTATGAAAGGTTTTAAAGTTTTACTTTAAATATAGTTTTTTGCTAACTAAATAGAATTAAATACATACTGTAATGTAAAGCACAAGCTGTATACTGTAATGAGCACAAGCTTTACCCATAACTATAGAATATAACAAAGTGCTTATTAAAAGTAACTTAAGTCGACATTACTTAAGAATCTAGTTCTATCGTAGATTTTATCACAGATATAGTGATATTTGGATTGCAGCCAACGGTCAAGTATTCTTGCCAAGGTTTCAAGAAGTTCAAAGAACTCTACACTTTTAAAATGAAGCATTGCTAAATAAATATAAACTGAAACGTAGCTTTCAGTTAAATTTAATTTACTTTCTATTACACAGACAATTTTAAAACAAAGATGTTAATAACATATTTATTAATCTCACATACTTTTGATGATAATTATCTTATTTGTTAATTACATATAACTTTGATTAAAAATTCAGTATACTTATATAAAATAATTGCAAACCAATAACACTAATCATAAAATATTAGCACAGTGCTACCCTCGAAATATTAAATTTTTCTTTGCTCGGGTGGCGCCACCTTTCAGCAAACTGTGTTACTAATAATGCCAAATGTCTACGTCAAAGTGTAACTGTGATACGTACAAACAAACTTTCGCATTTATAACAGTGATAGTGATGACGACATTTTATAAAATAAAGCTAAAAAATATTTTCATCTTAACATAGTATATGAGCTTAGATTTACCAAAGTTTGTAATCTTTACTTAAAGTTTACTTAAGCAGCTTAAGAGAAAATTAAGGTTGAAACTGAATAATTTAGAGCGGTATTTGACTTAGCTTATAATATTTTTACTTTTCTTTTATTTACACGTTCGTTTCATCTTACTTTATGGCTGGACTTCAATTTTGTTTCACGTTCGTCTATTTACTAACTTTCTAAGAACAAAATTATTTATTTTTAACTTAAAAAGTATATTTAGGAAATTTGTAATTTTTATTTAATGGCCTTCAAAAATGGATTTATAGAGCTTTTTTATTTATATTAAAATATTTATTTATATCTGAATAACAAAGAAATGTGTCACTTTTTGTGATGTAATTCGATTTTTTATCTAAAATTGTATATGTATATATATTATAAATATAAAATAAAAAGAGCAAGCTCCGATTTTTTTAATTGGAGCTAATTTTGGATGACTGAATTATTTATAATGAAAATGTAGGATTAATTATGCTATATAAAAAGTGGTTATTTCAAATGATAATGTGTTAGATATCGCTATATTTAGTACTAGGTTGATTCCCTATACAAACATTCATCCCCATTTTCACTCCCTTAAGGGAAATTTCCGAGATAAAAACAAGATAAATCCTATGTCCTTTCCAGGGCTCAAACTATCTTCTTACCAAATTTCATCTAAATCGGTTAAGTAAATCCAGAGATTACCCCCTACAACCTCACAAACTTTACCTCTCTATAATATTATATTAGTATAGAAAAGTCAATATATTGAAATTACATAATTTAATTTTACATGCTATGTTACTTTAAGATTAATTATACATATTTCATACTTATCCATCGAAGTAAACACAAAAACAATAAGTGATTTTGTTTTAGATTATATTGCAAGGTTTTTAAATAAGTTTTTTCAGTACCGCATACAATATATTACAAATTTAATTTCCTTGAAGCCAACGTTAGTGTCTCACGTTAAGTTTATTCTCACTTGACTATTCATTTCTCAAGCGAACCAAACTTTAAAGTAAATAACGGTGATGCAAAAATAATACGATATGACTTTCAAAGCATAGTGTTAAAGAGGGTCATATCCGCACTAAGCGTCGTTATAAACCACTTCCGCAAAAATAAACTTTGTGCCTTTGATGCTCTTTGAAATTAGTTTTTATATTGTATTTTAGGGTATCGTACCCAAATGGTTTGTTTGAGAACCTGTTAGTAAGTCACCTAAAGATCTATCGTCTATACGTCCATCATTTCAATCTAATATATAAAAATCTCGTGTCACGTGTTTGCACCCCTCCGAAACGGCTGGACCGATTTTAATGATTTTTTTTATATTTGATAGGTATGACAATAGATAGTAAAGTATTTTTCACCTCCCATTTTTTGATCGCGATTTTAGTATTTTTGTTTGAACAATATTATTTAGATACATAGCGACAAACCCGAGCGAAGCGAGGGTGAGTCGCTGTATAACATAGCGCCAAAAAGTTTTTTGTAGATTGGACGCGGGCATAGCCGCGGGTTCTGCTAGTATATCCATATATTTCAAAGTCTATTTCATGTAGATAAATACTAAATATGTACTATAACAACTATTGTTTCTTTCAACTACTCAAGGCATAAGTTAGTGCTTATTTGTTCAAAGCAATACTTGTTCTACTTTACAGTAACTAGAGTTTTTAAAAAAAAGTTTTATTTCTAAGATTAGATATAGATAAAATATTTTTTTCGGCTTTATTTAAGTAAAATTTGAACTTAATACCAATAAAATTGACATTAAAATTAAAAAGTAAATTAAACTTTATTAAAAACTCTTTCAGTAAATTGGTCGTTTGGAGAAATAAGCACTGAGACGACGCCTATTTCTAACATTTTTTTTTTCATAATTTCGATATAGTTGATATGTCATCTTGTCATTGATAAATAAATTCCACTTTAAAATACAGTACTTAAATCTAAAAGCTGTCTAAAGAAAGAGCGTCGACACCCCGCATAGCACATAACATTCAAGGAATGGCAAACCAAGGAAACTAAAGGACGGATTGACGTGTCGGTGTATTCGCTTTTATCCCACAAGGGAAATAACTGAGTTATACATACAAATTTGTTTATTTCATTTTCTTATGATGGAACATTGTACTTATAATGTGAACTAAATAATATGAAAGGTTCTATTTATTATTTGACACTTATAATTTTACGGTGAAAACTGAAAATGCTGATATAATTTAGTTGTTATAACTAAATACTACTATCTTATCGTTATAATTTCTTGCTTTTGATTACCTATATTTTGTTGCTAAATTAACAATTTAAAAGTGTATTTCTACTTCAGTTTTTCTATAGCTTTTAAACACATTATTTATTTCTTTTCACATAGAAATACCAAAAGTTTTGAATTTCTAGAAAAAAAACCTCTCCTTTATAAATATTTAAAGTATTCCTAAATTAATCAAAATCGTTCATGCTTAGAAAATATCATAGTTGCAATTAATTACATTATCTGTTTGTTATTAAGCATTCTTTCCCCTTTTAACTTCTTGTAAGCTAAAGAAAATTGTTGTTTATATGTTGGATATTGTATAATCTTCAGAGTCTCGTATTTTGTATAGTTTATTAGACTCAGAGTTCTATTTTCTTCATGTAATGAAAAAACCATGTGTCGTAGTTAGTCAGTAATTTGTGCCTACTAAGAAAGTCCGTGATTCACTTTCTTTACTGCGTGAATGAATGCTCTATATGTAACAATGCTAGTTATACTTTAAAGATTCTTTCTTTTCTTCTTTAAAGAAGATTTATATAGAGATATTTCGTTCTATTTATTCTTATAGAAAATATTTTTTTCTATTACTTACACATACATATTATATTTGTAAACGAAAGAAAACTAACCCCAAAAAAGTTTATTTTGATTTTAAATAAAACCTAAATATCAAAGAAAACTTAAAAATGGATGAACTTGCTACGCAGATCTCCCATCCAAATATAGTAGGCTTACTTGTATATTATGTAAGCAGGTCGCGAGTCACTCTACGTTAGCCGGTTAAATGGAACCAATTATTACTATTAATTTAAAAATAACGCCTGATAAAAGGCAATAACAACCACTATATGTTTGAATCGTTACGGTTTGGCGAGTTGGTTTATTCTTTGAGAGACTTCTTACACAGTCTTCTAATTATGATTTAAATTTCATTACTGGCGAAAGAAAAAAAAATAAAGTACCATCGGTTCATTATTTTTTGTTATATTTCACATTTTGTTTTCTAAAGGCGGGTAATTAATTAAATTTGCAAAAATCATGTAGCAAGTTTCAATTCAAAATCATATACTATGAAATTACTGGTAAAACTAAGTAGAGTGTGTAAACTTGTTAATCAATTACCATGGTAACAGATTAATTAAATTTACTGAATTAACTCATTCCCTTAAATTAAACATTAAATAATGTTTAATTAGGGTAGAGCGCTACAACAATTGTTGCTTTAAACTTGTTCCGCGGTCGCCTACAATAATGATTTTTATCAATAACGTCTTCTTAAAATTGTACCTAATATTAAGACAATATAATATTCATACTAATATTATATATATGGAAGTGTGTTTGTTTTTATGTCCTTCTTTCACGTCAAAATAGAGAGAAGGATTGGCGTGATTTTTTTGTGGTGATAGTTGCTGGAGAGTGACATAGACTACTTTTTATCGCGGGAGATTATCTCATTCCCACGGGAAAACACGTTATAATACAACATAACTAGGGATGAAATTTAGAGAAGCGAGTGTGAGCCGGTAGTAATTAATAAACATTACTTTCTAAAGTTGATACTTATATTAAAATACACATCATACAGTACACATACTCTAGGGTATAATGTGTCTAATCTAAAAAAAGTGTAACTGACCGATGTCTGTACATGGAAGATATTTGAGAAAAGCTGTCATTGGTGGTCTTTATTTACGCAATAGAACCCAAAAAAATGATTTTTAGAATTTTTGTCTCTTTGTCTGTGCGTTGTGCGCGCTAATCTCAGAAACAGCTTAACCGATTTGAATGCGGTTTGCACTAATATATTGTGGTAAGCTTCACTTAACGTTTAGTATTTGTTTCATTTCAATCTGTTCATAAATAAAAAACTCGCTAGTAATTATATAAGTATCTTAATATAGCACATTAGTTTACAAACATAACTATTATATAGTGTTAAAATAAAGTAAAATATAAATACAACACGAACAGTACAACTGATCAAGTCAAAGAGCCATCTTATTTCTCTCCACGCCTTTACACCTGTCTCACGAACACAATAAAACTTTTTCCCTTAAAACTTAAATTCCGATAGTTTGAAGGCGACTACAGTCTTGTTTGTATTAAACTCCGTCGATGCAGTAATGATGAGATTAGTTTATTCTTTTATTTAGTTTTTTCATTTCATTTTACACTCCTACATTATAATGCATTTTTAGCTTGATTTTTTAAGTAATTTAGGTACTAATATTACTAATATTACATCTTTATTATATTTTTAATATGCTTATCATTTGGTTTTTGAAAACACGCGAAGTTCGTTCCCCTTTGGCCAGCATAATGTCCTATGGGCATATTCTCTTCGTATTAACACTATGCCGTAGATGGGACTTTTGACGGACTAAACTATTATTAAACGACGATATAATTTTGGATTATAGATATACATACATAAGTATGTATCAAAATATAATAAATATTAAGTTAAAATTTAACACTAACTAGCTTAGCCACTATTACACTTAGCCACATTTCAAATATAACTAATGAAATAGGAGGATTTGACTAGAAGTATTTGACAAGTTCCTTCGATCGCCAAAAGTTTGTATGTAGTAAACGGGTAAGACTTATGGGATGCGGTTCAAAGATTAAATTAAATTTCAAAATATTTAAATTATCCTACTTATTTACAGGAATTTCTATTGTCTATCATTATAAAATCAGTAAATACGTACTTAATATTATTAATTAAAAGTAAATCTGTCTGTTATCTAATATCTTTTCACGCTTAAACTGCTTAGCAAATTTCGATTAAGAACAAATTGCATCATGGGGACAGATATGATATCCGCCCCAGTTACCACGCGGGAAAATCCGTACACAAAAGCTAGTTGCTTATATATTTATGAATATAATTATGAATTATATATGGCATAACATCATCAGTACTTATTATTATGATCGTTACCAAACTTCACAGGATCACCCGCTGGGCTAATCTGAAGATTGCCTGAAAATGACACGTAATATAAAGGTAGCGCGCTTAAATCGAATCATTAGAACGACCCGTAGATTGTAGTAAGCGAAGCTATACATTTAAGCCATCATAACGTATGAACTTCATAAAAAGTAAAGAAAAAAGTAAGATTTTTCATTGAGGTAATACTTTTAAAATTTCATATTATAACAGAAATAATGTATCTCGATATTAAGAAAAAAATAAAAACCGACTTCTAGGCACTAAAAAGGAAAAAATAACTAAACGGGTAAAAAAGTGTTGGGGCAGGCTGTTCGTATCAAGACAAATGGATGCATTTTCCTTTTTGAAGTAGACAAAGAGATCAGACGTAACTTTTTTCTTATATTAAAATTGGATATGACGAGAAAGTCTTAGTTAAGTAGAGGTTTGTCTGAACAAGTTATAATTATTATTGAAGAAACTTGCGTTCGGATGATACAGATGAATAAAACCCTGTACCTCCTTCACATTATTGGTGGTATAAGAAATCAAAAATATGAAACAAATGTAAAAGACTGCTTCAATGCAGTTACTAAATTGGATCATATAATTTTTGTATCATAATATGAACATTTTTTGTTTAGACTCTATTTATATCAGAATTTTTCAACTTTTGATTTCCATTTTTTACTCTGTAAAGCTTTTGAAACTTAGTACAAAAGCTATATGACTATAAAGCTCCATTATAAAAGTTTGAGATGCGTGAGGAATTCTAATTAAACAAAAAAAACATCTGAAGAAATTGCAAAAAAAAGTTTTTTCAGTAAGTGGAATAAAATGAACTCATTAATGAAAATTTAATAAACACATTCTTTGAAACAAAGCGATAACCGATTTTCTTTAATACTTTAATTACTTCAGTAAGATAGCTTTAATTACTTTCTTTAAATAAAAAAACAAATAACTTATTGACTCATTAAAAAGTCTTATGCTTTTTAAAATATATTTTCAACCCAAAGCGAAGACATAGAGATCAGAAGTAACTTCACCCACTAATAGTAGAATTCGATATAACAAAAGTGGTAATTTCTTAGGGTAGTGGTAAAGATTTGTTAAGAAATAACCAATCTGTGACCAAACAATATTAACTTATAAATAAAATTTTATAAAATACATGGTAAACTCAAATCGAACCCACGATAAAACTAAATATATCAATGGTTAGACAAACGAATAACACTATAAGTAAAAAACCTACATAACTTACATTTTCACTTTTTATTTCAAGCGTTCTTAAGAATTTGTCTAAAGAAAACAATACACGTAAGTTGTTATTCACACAATGTCTCAGGATTAATGTGACGTCGCCAGAACAAGCTCGGTGAGATAAAAGTGGTCGATATTTGACCGTATGATAGAAAATATGTTATATTTAACTTAAATATTTTTGTATTTACACTAATATTATTAATATATTTGTATTTCTGTTGGTATTTTTTAATCGAAGAGTCATATTGGAATATTTTGGAGTGACTAAAAATTTCTTCATCCATTCACTCTTAGAGATCTTTTTGATAAATTATATTACTTTTAAAGATTTAATTATCAAATAAAAGTAATAATTTATTAGTAGGTATTTTTTTGACTAAGAAAAGAATTATATTTTATTATCAAAAATATTTATATTAATAGTATACATGTTTTTATCACTATATAAATGTTTTTTTTTTACAAAATTTAAAGATTAGTTTAAACAAATTGATGTAACATTTTAGAATGTACAATATTACAGGGTGATGATGAAAAATGTATATATAATATGTTTATTAAGGTTATAAATTTAATATATAATTAACAGTGAATTATGAGAAATGAATACAATACTAACAATATATTAAAAAATATATTTATGAAAAAGTCGTACAAATAAGACCTCTTTAAATACTTTAAACAAGACACTATATTGATTATGGAAATTGGTTTAAATTTCCTAATATGAAGGCTCCCTCGATACTAGTAATGAGTCAGTAAAGTGTAACGCTAATTACCGATATATCGATATCTCAGAGATAATGTCGTGATTAAACACACTCGGCTCAACAATTTTCTGATTAGATTATAAACCTGTACTATATTGCAATTCAGTTTAAGAGACCGTAACGAAATTTCCCCACAAAATATTAATTTGCCTTGTCAATGTTATTATTAAAAAAAAATAGAGTCACCTAGTTATTTCTAAATATCGAGATATTAAAGTGAATCGACATCGACTTTAATGACATATTCACTTTGAAATATCAATTTTAAATGAGAGATTCAATCGTAATCGTATCTTGGTCGATAGTGTTGTGAATACATGTCATATCGAAATCGATGTATTGGCAGGATTGACCGCCGCGACGTTGCGGAAGGGGACCGTGTCGACCCAGACTTGTTAGATCGGGCGGTGCGGCTCCTTCAATTGCAGAAACTAGACCGCATTTACTCCTACCACACGCGACCAAGGTACGAAATCGATGTTTCCCGATCCCATCCCTAACTTTAAACTGTTAGGGCATGATCGATGTTAATGTTACAATGCGATTTGTATTATTTTAGGCTACATTTTATTGTTGTAATTTTATTTAAATGTTCTTTCTAAACTAATAATATATTTTATTTGTAAAATAGTGTAATCTATATATAAACTTTTTTCTGATATAATAACACGTTTGTGATTGAATAACTGTTGACACTATTGAATAACTAAGTAACTAACACTTAGAAACTTGTTGCATCAACAATGAAGTCTAAACAAATGGAAAACTTAACTAACTTAAGAAGTTTCTATTTCTTTCATGAAGATGTTTATTTAGTATCTTTGAAAATGAATTTTCCATTTGTTATGCGACAAAATCTTTCCAATACTTCGAGTAGAATGTTCCAATGAAGTAAACATTTTATCGAGTTTTAAAACAAATGCAGTATGCATAGGTATCGGTTTACTAATCAAACTAAAATATTTACATATTGTATCTAATGATATTGATGAAAGTAGCTATGTGACATCTTGTGAGGTCCTGGGTTCGATACCTGATTTGAAATAAAAGGACTATAAGTATTTACTATTTAGCTAAAGAAATTATCTGTAGCAACGTTTTACGCTTCCAAAACCCGATGAGCTCGTTAAGACATTGGTCCTGTTTGATTTCTCTCCGGTTATGTCAATGCCGTGTACCAGAGTATAAAAATATAAGAAAAGAAAGAGTGTCATACTATTTCATTATGTAACCACTATAACCGCGCATTTGCCTGGTCACCTTGTGCTTATTCTATACAAATCTTTGATATATTAGAATAATCTATAATAATATTATAAGTAACACTGTAAGTTTGTTTGTAATGGTGAAACTAAAAAACTTTAAGATAGTTTTTATCCCGGAAATTATTCCTTAAAGGGGTGAGAAGGGGGATGAAAGTTTTATATGGAAAATCAATCATTTCACAATTAAGGAATAATACTCGTCATACTTACGTACATAGTAATATAATAAAGCCTATCTATTCCATACGAGCAGTTGATAAAAGAAATTGAATCTACAAATCTACTTATTTATATTTACAAAGCAAATGTACACTATATAATATACCTTTATTACGTATTACCTTTTTATATATATATTATCATCTTATGTTTTATTGGATTTTCAATAATATTATTTATATTAAATTATAGATAAAATATATTGAAATCTGATTTATTACGGTTACAGTTTTGTTTTTTATATTGTTATATTAAAATAGATTTGTAAATTGTAGTTGCTTTCGCTCCGGTCCGATACTTGAGTTTTTCTTATAAAAATGCATTTAAATATAGAATTTATCGGTTGAAGAAATCGCTGACTTCAACTCTGTGTGGGTTGACTTCAATAGATTTTTCATTTAGCTCTGAAGATTTAGAATGTGATAAGCGATCTATATTTAATGATATTGTTTTATTATCATTGTTCACAGGTTCGGAAAACGTTCTGAGGCCTACTCGAACTGGGCTAAGGATCTTGAAGTAAGTAAATTTTTTATATTCTCTTTCATAAGGTAAGTATTAAACAAACATATAATTTTTACTGACAACTTTTTTACTGTTTAGCTCAGTTGGTAGTGGTCCTTCTTACTGTGACAGCGGTCCCGGGTTCGAGTCCCGCTGGGGGCATTAATTTGTGTGACGGGCATTTGGTATGATGATAGCTGTTTATCCAGGTCAACATATAGTATAATTTTTACTGCGGGAAAATATCTCATCTCTGAGAAATCTATACTAAATGTTAAAACGTAACTAGGGACCAACTGAGAAGGCTGAGTCGCTAGTAAATTAATATAATTGTAATATTTTAGTAATAAAATAACTAATTCTAGTTTTGAATTTTTTGTCTTTTAGTTACGCAATCAAGCAGCTATTGTTCTTAAAATTATTAGTTTAAATCAAAGCATTTCGATAACTTTTCTATAAGATTCAAAAGATATAAGACATATCATATATAGAAACTTCAAATATTTGAAAAAATTGTAGTGAGAATAGTTATAGAGAGAATCCATACTAATATTATAAATGTGAATGTGTATTTATTTATTTGTCCTTCTTTAACGTCGAAAAAGAATAACAGTTTGGCTTGATTTTTTATGTGGAAATAATTGGAGGGCTTGGACTGTGACATACTCGTAGGATACTTTTCACCGCGGGAGATTATCTCATTCCCACGGGAAAACACGTTATAATACAACCCATAACAACTCATCATACCTATGTATATATAATACATAATCATACACATACATATATAAGTATACATTGGAGTACTGAACAAAATATATATATATATTAATGACTAGAAGAAAAAATTAAACTAGTGTTCGCCCAATACTCGATAATCAACTATTATAATTAGAAATTTCATAAAAAAATATATTTACCTATCTGTGTAAAAAAAAACTGTTTCCACATTTTTCTTATTGATAGCAGACACTAAAACTCTTCAAATGCTATAAGACAAAAAAATTAAAAAAGTCGGTTGACAAACAGAGTAGCAAAAGGCACGGAAGTGTTTTGTCTTTGCCTATTTATGTCTAAATCTGTACATAAAATGTAGGTAATAAATAAAGAATATAAGACAATAATCTTGCTATAATATTATTTAACGATCTAATTTTTAATACATACTCAACAAAAATAAAACCTAAAAATTGTTATTATAATCCTATGATATTTTAGAAGTAGTCCTCAATACTTTAATGGAATCAACCAAATTGAACGCGTTCCAGCCATGAATAATAAACTTTGTTTTTGACATTAATAAATTCGCTTATTTAAACTAATAAATGTCTAGCGACTATAGAATTTAGGCAAGTGACATTCCAAAATCGGTATCGTTGATAGAAAACGAAATAATGTATGAATGACCTAGGTATCTAAAACGTTAACACCTTTGATTTAAGCAATCCGTTTTTATAATGCTTAGTACCTGTAGATTTCTCAGAGATGAGATATTTTCCCGCAGTAAAAAGTATCCTATATGTTGACCCGGATACTCAGCTATCATCATACCAAATTTCATCAAAATCTGTCCAGTGGTTTTCTCGTGATGCGGTAACAGACAGACAGATAAAAATTCTAAAAACTATAGATTCGGGATAAAATTGTAACTAAGCCGAATCTGTACATTAAATATTTTTTGAAAAATCTTATTGAAAAAAACATTATTATCGATACAGAGGCTGAATATATAGTTTTTAGAATTTTTGTCTGTTTGTCTTCCTGTCTGTCTGTCAGTTTGTCTGTTACCGCATCACGCTAAAAACCACTGGAGGGATTTTGATGAAATTTGGTATGTCAACATATAGGACACTTTTTACCTCGGAAAAATATCTCATTTCTGAGAAAAAATACAAAAACTGTAATGTAAGTATATACTAATCTGTAAAACCTAAGAGTTTGGTTTTTGGTCATCTGAACGCGGGCAGAGCCGCGGGCAATGCTAGTTCTAGTATAAATATAGCCCACGTTAGTTATTTTCTTCTATATACGTAAATGTATGTCTCAATTATCGCAACATGTTTACAGAGTTCTATGAAAGCGGAAATCGCTCCGGTTTCCTTTTCAAATTCAGTTATAGCTTGTGCTATTAGAGATTAGCCCAATTATATTAGCCCTTATAAAAACAGGAGGTACGCTAATCGAATGTTTTTCGTGTTTATTATACGCAATACTTTCTCTACATGTTAACCAATATTCATGATTATATTTTAAATATTTACTTTCCTTAAATCAGTTTAATAAATATTACTATACATATACTTATGTGTAGAATTCCTAAAACAAAATCAAATAAACCTTTAGGCTCTTATTGGTTGATTTAATTAACTTTCTATTTTATTATCTGTAAAGGACACGGTTACGTTAGTCAATGATCAACGAGAATATTTGAAAGATTAGATCCCTTTTGCAAACCGAATTCTACGTCAAAAGACAACATACGGTTTAATTATTCAGATGAAATTCAGAATTCACTTTACTGTGACCAATGAATTAAGTTAAAAGAAAAATCTTTTTAAAATGTAAAATATTTAGTAGGTACTACAAAATTTACATAATCATAAATTCATATATTTACACAGTGTCTGCTAGAGATACGAACAGTCTGAGCTACTGGGGTCAGAAATGTGAAATTTTGCAGATTTTTATGTAATGAATATGAGCATTAAGAAAAATGAAAAACGGTATGAAAGTTCAAATTTGTATTTTTTTAAGAAATTTAGTAGCTTGCTCCTAAGAGGTTGCTAGTATTGATGATGATGATGATGATGTTCTCCTGACCGATTCCGGCCACGGCGGCCAATCTCATTGAGACTACCCAACTGCTCAGGAGATATTATAGTGCACAAGAGTACGCGCAAACACAAATGCACTCTCTATTCCTGTTACTCCCATACTCCGGTGGGACGACTACTCGACACGACCGGTGAGAGTTAAGGCGCAGGACCGACGGCTTTACGTGCTCTCCGAGGCACGGGGGTGAAACACCGCCAACTTCCCAACTCCGGGCTGTTACTGAGGCTTATTATACAGAAAGACTCAATAAAAAAATTATGGAAAAGAGAAAGCCCTAATTATTCCCATACTTTTCCTTACTTACCGGTTAGAGAAAAACCTTAACGGTGTTAGAACTCTGTCAAGCCTGAGGAGTCTGACTGGATGGGTACCACCTCCTTATCTATTTCTCCCGCCAAGCAACAATGATTGCATTGTTGTGTTCCGGTTTGAAGGATATGGTATCCAGTGTAATGACAGACAATAGGCATATCATATTACTCCTCACAGTGGCAACGCACCTGCGTTTCAGCATTTTTGTAACATAAAAGTAAACAATAAGTGCATGAACCGTAGGTGTTATGGGCGACAGGTACCGCTTTCCATCAGGTGCGCTGTCCGCTCGTTTATCACTGAACACCATAAAAAAAAGAGAAAAAATGCATACCTACCCAACTAATGATCTATGCTTTTTAACCCCCGACGCAAAAACGACGGGGTGGTTTGACGTGTTTGTGTGTGTCTGTCTGTGGCATCGTAGCTCCCGAACGGATGAACCGATTTTGATTTTGTTTTTTTTGTATGAAAGGTGAATTTGTCGGGAGTGTTCTGACCTATGTTTAATGAAACTCGGTCCAAGATGGTCGAGGGTTTTTTAAATTTTTAATTTATCACTTGTTTAACTGCATCAATCACACACATATTTGACTATAACGTTTTATTACAGATATCATTCTCGTTTATGAATACCGTACACAGTATCACGTAAACTTGCATTTCAATAGAATTTTAAAATAGCGATATGAACCACAATATGGGCTTTGAATATCGTTTCATATTACGTCCGGTAACGTTCATACGGTAGGATTTACTTCCACTATTTATGACTTTGATATTTGCCGAGAATATTACTTGAAAATATTATATTAATATAAGGGAATTGAGTTGTAATAATGCCGTCTTAAAGGATGCCTTTGTAGGGTTATTTTTTATGTTTCCTTATAACTGATGGAAAAATTATTTTAACTATGTATATATTATGTGGGAAGTCATGTATATTTTATTATAATATATATACAATTTAGTATATTATTATAGCCTCGTTTATTTAACAATAAAAAATTCATAATAACGTTACAATATGATTATTATCTTTTTCTTTTTCCAGTTTTGAAAAACACTTAGTGTATTTCTGAAACATCAACATTGAATTAAGGATGTTGGATATTGATTCAATACTTAATATATATAATATTGTAACATCTTCGTTAGAAACTTTATATATAAATAACATTATTTTAACTTCAATTTCGATGTTATTCGGTATCATAATTAAATAACACCTTTTTTATTCTGACTCATTTCCTTGAATTATTTTTAAGGTTACCTAAATTAATATTAACTTAATAAATTAGTTATTATGTAGTTATTAAATAATTATTAAAATATAATAAATATTAAAATTTAATCATAAATTACATTGTGTCACCTAAAACTTAAATTTTTGATTTATTTTACAGAAGCCGGACATACCCGCTTGGTTGGCATACGCCCGGAGATGAGCGCAAAGTCGTCGATTCCATATTATATTAAATTAACAATTTACTGTCATACTTTACGCACTACGGTCTTCAAGAAAACTGCATTTTATGTTAGTTTTTCTCATCTTAATCCACTATCTTTATATCTATGTGGTTTTAAACAATTTTAGTTACATTTTAAATTGTATGTCTAGTCAATTCTATAGGAAAATATAATATTGTATCACTGATAATAATAGTACTTAGTTCAGAACATTAATTGTGACTTCGAATAATCATTATAATGTTATAAATAAAGGCAATTGATAAAAAGTAATTTTAAATTGTTGTTTTCATTTGAACCTTTTAATTAGCGACTTAGCTTCAATCGGGTGGTTTGTTTTCGGTACCAAGGTTTCAGTACTTATGTATAACATTATATACAAGAGGGTTACATTTGGGCAGTTTGTATTAAGCAACTAAAAAATATTTGATGTATAGATAACGCTAAGTTACTATTTTATTATATGTATAGATAACAAACCTAAGTATTGCTCCAGCTGACATTCTGTCTATCAAAAATTCATCTAAAATCAGCCATTTTAGCGAGGTGTAACAAACATACACACGCACAAAGTAAAGTAATTATAAGCAAAATGTGGAGATATATAGGATTTACTTTTCTTTCAATGATTTTTTTTTTTCTGGTTTTGTGTTGGTTTACAATTAATTGGTTAATATAGTTTAAAAATTAAATTCAAAGTCATGACTTATACACCAATTATATGTATTTCGAAGATTACATTCCCTTACTTTCATGGAAATCAAAAGATTATTCTAGAAATTAAAAATAAAAAACCAAGAAAAAGTTAAAAACCGATTTTTTGCAAATATGTCGAAAACTTTGAGGTTATTGTAAAAAAAGTTACTTACAAAAGTTGTAGATTTTTACTAGACCTACAACTTTTGTGGTAAATATTTTTCGATAGAACGTCACATTAAACCGAAAATTGAAAAAAAAACTATTTTTCAACGCTTTGCGTCCCCCCATTTCTCGGGGGTAACTGGGCATAGGGGGCATTTTACGAATTTCTCTTCCTTATATGCCTGCTAACATTTTGAAATCATAAAACTTCAGGTTTTCAATATTTTGTTCCCAAACCGGATTCCGATTATAGATTAGACAGAGCTTAGTCATTACATATATATTTTATGCATCTATATCATCACTATTAAATTAAATTTTACAATTAAAATTAATTAAATTAAATACATAACCACTATATCCTTTATATAGCCGTTTATCTATGTAGCAGACGTTCGTACAAAATGACAATAATATTCGTAAAAGGGTCCCGCGGGATGATATGTGAAGATTTACATATAAAAGGTCTTTAATTAAGTTGAATATGTATAAATTGTTATAAATATCAGTAAAAAAGAAGCAATAGCAAGAAATACAGTAAGAAAATAAAAGAATTTTGTGTATATAGTACCTACCTACCTACTTTTGCGTGCACAGAATCTTTTGATCATTCAAGAAAGGCGCTCGATGTTTTTTCTAACGAATTACATATTATTATATAATTTGTGTACCTACAATTCATTTTACTTGTTTGTTTGTGTACAGTACATATTTGTGTTCAATTCATAGCTAGTATGAAAAAAATATAAGACAAAAGAGTTTATTGAACATTTTGTTATTGGTATAGACAGACCGTTTTCATCTTTTACATCGTCTTAAGGAATTGTATTAGAGTTTGTACTTTGTAAACCTTTTAGCTTTTTTAGTATTTGCTTATATAATAATTATCTTCAGAATTTAAAAATAATTTTTTTTTAATTTGGGACCATTTTTGAGGTACATTTATTTTATTCATTAAAAAAGGAATTGTGAAAATTTAAAATTGGTGAAATTCTAACAAAAATACAGACAAATTACGTATCTCTTTCTTGGTTCTTCTTGAAGTCAGTAAAAAAGTACCCCCGCTGGAAATTTTAAAGCTCAAATTGAGTAGTAAAGCTTTAGTAGCTTACTTATTATGATATTAAAATAAGATAATGAGATTAAGATAAGTTTTTCAAATCAATTTGAGTTTCAAAACGCCTTTAACGTGGTACCCTAAAATATGACTTTTTGAGACAACTTTTCCTCTCTTTCCCTAAAACCTTATTCAAACTATTACGAACAAAACAATGCCAAATCGATCTAAAAGTTATCAACCGATGTGCTTACAAACCAACAGAATTTAAATTCTATTATATAGATTATAATATTACCAAAGGAATATTATTTAGATTTAGAAGGAAGGAAATAAAACGCTACACATAGTTCTTTATCCACTCTAATTATTCTGTGTCAGTACATCGAGGTATCATTAAATAGGTGACTAACTTACAAGTAAGCACGAAAATTAATTAAAATTTTTAAAACTATATATTATAAGTACATTGCATCAAATCGTATTTTACATTTGAAATTGACGAGAATACTCCGCTCAAGCACCTATTTTCATACAACCGTACATTTATACGAATTATTATTTAATCTTAACACTACTTTCCTTATATATACTTATTATTATGTGAAAAAATACAAGCCATATAATGGGTTTCTATTTCCGAAGTAATAGTGAAGTTTCTTTGGTAAATATAGGTTAGGAAAGAATGGGATTTGTAGTACGAGTATTGTTTATGGAAGCGAATGGAAAATATGATGTAGATGTAAAATGGCATTTAAAAAGATTTGTTCGATAAATATAGTTACAAATGATGAATCAAAATGGAGTGTCGAAAATTTTTAATTGAATTGAATTAGCGAAGTAAATATTAAATATAAAGTATAGTAAAATATAAAGGTTATTTCGTAATTTTCATATAATAGGATATAACATAAAAAAAAATATTTGATTTTTTATTTAAATTGTAAACAGTTTAAAAAGACGATACTTTTGGTTTTATAACAATTATTTTTTATTTTAAATGAATGTTGTTATTTTTTATGAAGGCTATTTTAATTCTGCCATCGCAAAGAGAACTACACAAACTAAAAAAACCCCGCCCATGCTTCAAGTGATTTTGGCAGAGACTATGGTCGTAGCAACTAATTATTTACAATGATATATCCGACTGCATAATACTTTCTTAGATAGACTGACATTTGACATTTTAAATAAAACTATCTTTTCCGATTATTTCGCAGATTTATTTTGATTTTTGGTTCCCGACGTTTCGAATGCTTTACAGCATCCATGGTCACGGAAGAGATTGAGGTGTTAAATGTCTCGAAGGTATAGTTGTTACACAAATAACAAAATGAAAGTTAATTAAAATAATAACAAAATGAAGTTTAATTACTTGGTGCAATTTTCAATTTTACTCTTTATTTTGACTCAAGGTCACATGTCGACGCCACTTTTTGAAGAGATATTTGTTAGGAAATGTGTATCAATTTTTTTATATATCAATGTAAAATGATTTTTGTCATTTCAATACAAGTTTTATAATTTCTGTTTTTCAATGATTGCAGAAAAACATCTTGTTTAAGCACAATAGTCTCTATTATGGGCGGGGTAAGGTTCACATCAAAAGACTTTATTAAGATACAGCTAGTTTACAATAGACATACACTAGAAACCGATCTAACACTAACAAATACAACAAAATATCTAAGAACAGCTACAATCAGTGGCGTAGCTATGCCAATGCAACCAATGCCATCCATGAGGCCCCTGATTCAAGGGGGCCCCAGCGGGCCACCAACGATTCTTTTACTTCAAACATTTTTTCGAGCACGGCCCTCATAGAAGTTTGAAAAAATCGCAAGAAAAAACCGCATATTATTTCATAATAGGCAAAGGGGGGCCATTTAATTTTTGCAGTGGAGCCCAAAAGCTAGTTACGCCACTGGCTACAATAAGAAACTACGTTACATAGATACAGAAGAAATAGATTAGACGGATGGAAAATCTGGGGCATTGCATAATTATACTAAATACTACATTTTATACGCTAAGGGTAAATATGAGTACACTAGAAGGACTAAAAATTTTTATAATAGGGAATTTGGCAACATGGAAGATTTATTTACAATTAATTTTTATTTTGCCGCTTTTTATTCAATAAATAAGATGTTTTATGATGAAATCCGCTTAATAGTTTTCAACTGGAGGCTTTTGTATTATTTTATGCATTTCTTATATGTATAGATTACTTTTGAATATATTCAATGTACAGCGGACCATTTTATTTGTAGTTATTTTTAGTTTAGATTGAAAACGTTAAGTATAAGTCAAATAATAATTTATAAATTTTATAAAATGAATGAAAATGAATAGTAATTATGCAATATAATTTAATATAAAGAATAGTTGAAGAAAGTATTAATTAAATAGTTTATAGTTTACTATTAAAAATAAATCGTTATACAAAATTAGATTACGGTACAAAATAAGTGGCATTTCCAGCAATATTTAGTTCGATCTATTCCATATACACATTAGTATTAAAGGTCTAAACTAGAAAGGAAATTTTACAACCATTGATCTTACGCAGTCAAATATACTTATAATACTGTAAATTAAAACTATATCTTACTTTAGCCTAAGATAAGAGTCCTCGCACACTGCAGACTTTCTATTACGTATAATAATTTAGTCATATTCTAAATTAGTATGAAAATGCTAGCGTGCTTTATATTTCGATACCTACTGTGTATTCAGGCCTTTTTAACGTCCCACTGCTGGGCACGAGCCTCTTCAATACGAGAGGGATCAGGTCATAGTCCACCACGCTGGCCAAGTTGGAGTTGGCGGGCTTCACATGTCTTTCGAAAACTTGTTAAGTTCTTTCAAACATGCAGGTTTCCTCACAATGTTTTCCTTGACCATAAGGCAAGTGGTAATTATGTTAGAAACATGCACATTACATATGAAAATATCAAAGGAGCGAGACCCGGGATTTGAACCCGCTTCACTCGGTTTCCCGAGTGAGCGTGCCACTGGGCTACCACCTCAACCGCCTCACTCAATCGATACCGGCTGATCGGTAAAATTTGTAGACGATAGAAAATCTGTAGTATACGAGAGCTCTTAAACTACATTTAGTTAGCAATTCTAGCTTCCTATTTTAATTAGTAATCGAAAAACTGTCTTAGATTTTATTTAGTTTTATTTAAGGCGTAAGTGTTATTATATGGCAAATTCAGAAAGCTTGTAGTTTCACGGATATATAAATATCGCGGTCCGTAGAGCTTAGAGTTGATGTGAATAGATACTTTACATAGATATTTTGATAAATTACCTTTAATTTGTTAAACTTTGTTTAAAATATAATATTTGTACGTGTTCTTGAAAGTTTATTTGTAATAAATGTAATAACCAGTAATAAAACATGGTTAGATCCACGTTTTTCTACACAATACTATAATTTGAAGTTTTTTGGTGAATAAAAAATATTTTTTCGGATTTCTTACAATATTTTATTCATACAAAACAAGAATCAAAATAGGAATAAGAGATTGTAAAGAATTTTTAGCAAATCTCCTATTGAAATTCGCAAGAAATTTGTCATTTTAATCTGATCTATCTGCTACAGTAGTTGTTTTTGAACGTCTTTGATATAGTGTAAGAAATGATTATTTTCACTCATGACAGCCTATTTAATCGAGTTTATTTAAGTCGACTCTACGGACCGCGAGTAGTTTTCTCATGGCTTTGAGCAGAACACACAAACACACACATTAAGTCACAGCGCTTTTAATTACCACCCAATTACAAACACTATTTACAATTATCCTAAATATGAACAATTAGTGCTTTCTCGAACTAACAATCAACAATTATGTGCAGAAATAATTCGAATTTTGAAATATTATTATTTTTCTTTTATTAAAACGGAAAATGGCGTGTATTATAAAAATATGCTGAAGTCTTTGCCTTATATATTACATAACAACATTTATAAAGAACGATTATTCTGTGACATCGATTTGTCGTTTTGAATATCGATTTTAGAATTATTCGGGTCTTTTAGTAGTTCCCATATGTTGTTTTTGTCTAATATTTCGAAACCGCCTTTATTTTCAGGAGCTATATCAATTTTGATGGGACTGTTTAAGGATTTGTGTAAATCAGTTTCAGATATTGGGCTTGGAGGCATTTTATGGATTTCTTTGTTAATAGATTTTAACGATTTTGATACATATTTCTCGATCACTTTATTCGATTTGTTCATTGTATCCGATATTGTGTTGTTAGACTGTTCGTTGGTTTCATTGACATTTATGATTGGTTTTTTTATTTGCGTTTTCGGTTTCGGTTTCGGTTTTTTGGTTCTGTAGTGCATTGTTTTTATGTTGCTCTTTGTAATTGTTGTTATTGTGTGAGGTATTGTTGTTGTTTCAGTCATTGATGATTTTGTTGTGTGAACGGCATTATTCTCAGTAGTAGCCGTGCTTGTATCGAATGCAGTTGATTTTGTTGCCTCTGTTGTTGTTGTTATAGCATTAGATTTCATACTTGTCGTTTCCGTAATTACCATAGCTTCTTTATTTATGATAGACTTTTTATTTATTATAGGTTCTTTTTTATTTGAAGATTCTTTATCAATTAGAGATTCTTTGATTATTGCTGTTTCTTTATTTGTTATAGGTTCATTATGCACTTTTGGTTTTAAGTAAATAGTACTGATGTTACTCTCAGTATTGTTTGCTTTTTTAACAATGTTAATAGGCTTAGATTTAATAAAGAACTTTTCGTGTTTGTCTCCGTAAGTGGCTTTCAGTGTGCCTTTACGTCTAGGCAAAGGTTTTTTATATACATCAGATTTTTTCAAATTACTTTTATTTACTGGTACTTTTTGTATGATGAGTTCTCCATTAACTTTAGGTAAAGGTTGAATGGTGTTATCAATTTTCTGATTATCGGTGTTATTAGAGTATGTTACAGTGGGTATTATTATTGAATTCACTTCTTTTGTTGTTACTTCTATAACTACATCTGTAGTTGGATTTGTAGCATTAGTATTTAAATTGCTAGATGTTGTAGTGGAAATATCGAGTAATGTAGTTGCTGTGACGTCATTATTAGTAGTCTCTGCAGAAGCCACTTCTTCACTCTCTGTCAAATTTGTTACATCAACACTCGATACCGTACTAACGTTAATATCAGTAGTTTTAGAATGCATTTTCTCATAGTCCTTCCTGAATTCATAATCTCGGCTACAAATCCGTCCACATTCACATATATTATCTATATTCGTGCTAGTTTTGAGGCTGGCTAATTGTGTTTTATCGAACCAGGTGATAAAATCGTCATCGGTAATACCTTTTAGTAAGGGGCTGCCAGGTCGTGCGTGGAAGAATGTTTCCACAGCAAGGTCTGGTCGACTAGAAGGATATATTTTAGCGAATGCCGGACGGAGGCTTGTTATAACGAATTTAGATCGTGCCTCATAGGTAACACAGACTGGACAAGTTGAGCTGATCTGTAAGAGAATATCAAGTATTAAATAAAATAGAAAATTTATAAACTAAAATAATATACTACTATAATTGTCACTATCTTCAGTTATTTAAGAGTATTGCCCAAAAAATATAATGATAATCAAATACAACAAGACACAAAAAAAACTTACAAATCCTCGAATCAAATAAGCATTAATTTAAGAGTTTACTATTAGCCGTGAATAGATTTAAAATTTTGTATTTTGTTTTACTAAATGCGCGCACACGCGCTGCACTATAATATCTCCTGAGCAGATGACTAGTGTTAGTGAGATTAGCTGCCGCGGCAGAAATTATTATTATTTAGGGCAATTTTTAATAAGGCTGGCTATAACAAGCAAACCAAGATGTTGTTCCCACAATCCTTTCTAACATTGGAAAAGTACCAAAAGTGTTGCTAAGTAACCCTATAACAAGAATATACTCACATTAGTGAACACAAACCACACAGACTCCCCTCGCGAGCCGTAGTGCAGGTCCGCGAAGGTGGCACCGTCGAGTACTACCGGATTGACGGAGCGCAACTCGTAGCCGGAGAAAAGAGAAGCTTCTAAACGTAGTATACCGGAACGATTCTTGCCTTTCCATCTGTGAAATAATTATGATAAATTTGCTTTGTTAAATGACATAACTTATATTTGACGACGCGTTTGGCTTAGTTTGTAATGACCCTACTTGCTGTGCTAGCGGTCGCGGGTTCGAGTCCCACTAGGGACATTCATTTATGTAATGAGCACGAATGTTTTTAACCACTCCAGTCATGGATGTTTATATTTATAATATGTATGTATTTAAGGTTATATATAGGTATGTAGTGTATCAACAGTTTGGTATCCATAACACAAGTCTCATAGCTTACTATGAACTAAATGGTGCTGTGTATTAATGTCCCAGCATAAAAAATAAATAATAATAATACTAATCATAGTCTGTGTATAAAATTTCTTTTAAATTCGTCTAGTTTCCCATTCATTCCCGCAGTGATTCATCTTGAACGAGACAAACAACATTTTGTATTGTTAATAGTAGACCGACAAAGGAAACACAAAAACAAACACGAAAACATAAAAATAGTAGAAAAGTAACTAAGCTTACAAAAATAACTTCAACATTGGCGAAACTTCAATATGAAAACGACTTAAACGAGTATATACGGTATATATATATATATATATATATATATATATATATATATATATATATATATATATATATATATATATATATATACCTATGTATAAAAATAAATTAACATTTTTTTTATTGATACGACTACCTATGTCATTATTTAGTTAAATTCTTGTTTTATAAGTATTTTACATACTTGAAGCAAGTTTTGATGATCAATGTTGGCAAGTTTCCTTGTAAGTCTTCAATACTGCTCCTTTCAGGTCGGATCTCTTCTATGATGGCGGCTTGCACGTTGAGTAGAGAGTTCTCTGGCTTTGGTATATAAGTTGAATAGGATATCGTTCCCTAGAACAAAAGAATTAGAAAGACATGTTAAAAATAACCTCCTTTTTTGAAGTTGGTAAATTAGTGTTCTTTTTTTAGTTGTTTTAGTCTTGACAGGCACAAGGTGGTCATCATTTTGAGAAGTAGTGAAGTAACAGGACTATTTCAAAAGACAGTGATATATTCATTTTGTGGCGTCGTTATCTTCGTCATCATATACCTGCACTGTTACACACTACTAGACTAACTACTATCCCAGTGTAACCAAGTACGCAAATAACATTACCTGTACAGTAGCCGACGTACCTGTAAGCAACCATTACCTGCACAGTGGCGCAGCCGGCGCCGGTCGCGTACACGAACACCTTGGTGGGCAGTCCGGGCAGCGCGAGCGCGCGCGGCGGCGAGCGCGCGCGCAGCTCCAGCGTGTCCGTCAGCTCCATGCCCGCCGTCGCCAGCGACACCGTCAGTGCGCGGTGGCTGGTGGGGTACAGTTGGTATATTGAAAATTGGCTTAATCTATACAGATAAATAAAATTGAAGCGTCTGTTTGTAATGCCAAAATAACAGCATTTTACTAATGCATATGAAAGTTTATAAGATACATATAATAAAAACACAATTTTTAAAAACAATGTCTGTGTGTTTGTCTGCTTGTTCCGGATAATCTCTGATGTGGCTGGACTGATTTTTACGGGACTTTCATTGGAAGATAGCTGATGTTATGGGGAGTAACATAGGCTACTTTTATTTTAGAAAAAAAATTACGGTTACGCTCAAAAAAATTAAAACGTACCTACCTACCTATGTGCCTAATTATAAAAACTATTGCCAAACAAAAGAGGAAGGAAAACAATAAGAACAATACAGTGGTAGAAAATGTAAACGCAGCCTTATCGGTAAAACAGCGATTTCTTCCAGGCAACTTTGTAGGTGTAGGAAATAGCAGTGCGAAGTGGAAGGGGTCTGAACAAATAACAGTATATATGTACGTATACTTTAGTATATGTATATGTTAGATTGTATATAGAACTGACCGGTCGTACGCCAGGCTGGCGTACCTGGCGGCGGCGAGCGTGGCGCGGAAGGCGAGCGCGGGGTGGCGGCGCAGCGTGGCGGCGCGGTAGTACAGGAAGCGCGCCGCGTCCTCGCCCGCCGCCAGCGCGCCGCGCGCGCACGCCGCCAGCAGCACGCGCACGCCCGCCACGTACTGCTCCATCGTCACCGCTTCTGTTCGTGAGTACGTATCTTATACTTTACATTGGAATTCAAATTTAATACTAGCAAAAAACACAACTTTGCGAGAGCTCGCGAGGTTTAGCAAATCTGCCATCTTCATACACCATGGAATTTAAAATATTCATTATTAAGACATACTAAATCGTGTATCTCTAACTTCACCTTCACCAATATGTAATAATATGTAAATTCTTCAATATTATTAAAGAATACAATCTAGATCAAGATTCTACAAAAAAAAAACATTCTTATTGAATGCACACTGCAGTACACTATTCACTGTTTTGCGATTATATTGAAAAATCAAACGTTTTTAAATTTTATTTAATATAAATATTCTGTTAGCATCGATATTAACTCTTTATTTTTCTGACAGATGGCGTAAATAGTAACATCAGTTGCAAAATTATTACTTTTGAAAAATGGTTATAAAATGATATTTTAATCATAGATAATACATCTAAGCATAAATTTAAATTACTATATTAAAGCCCGAACCTAAAAGTGTGATAGTTTTCCCACAAAAGTGTATCACAAAAATGTGTAGGTTGTGGAATATTGTTAGGGTTCGCTTCGCTCGTCCCAATTATAAATGCATACTATGTAATAGCTGGATACTGAAATTTATATGAGGTACACAAACAACAACTCCATACACAAACAAAAAATTCGAGTAACACAAAGGTTACGCAACCAAGCAAAGCAAGGATAAGTCTCTTGTCGTGTAGTACTACTATGTATATTAGTTTATGTGTGTAAGTGTGAATTCTCTACACTGAAATAGCTAGACAAATTTCGATGAAATTCACACACATAACCTGAACCTTAACATGAACCTGGAATAACACGTCATAAGTTACCGTTTGGCACTTAAGGACGTACCAGAGTAAAGTGAGGATAAGCCGCTAGTTTAATAAAAAACATCAATCTAACCATATGAAGTAGTCTTAATGTTTCTCGAATTTTCTTCCAAAAGCCAATCGGCAGCGTCTCTGCGCGGCGCCGGCCACCCGAACTCGCCCTCTTCGGTGGTGGACGCGTTTTTTAATATCGCTAACGCTTCTGGAACTAGAGGACTCCTGAAATATAAATAAAATTAAAAATATTTATATGGAAATCATAATATACATTTATCCTTTTATTATGTAATACAAACATTTTTAATTTGATCAAATCAATAGTGATAATAAATTGAATAATTAATTACTTGTTACTTTAACACAGAGCTCTTCCTAAGTTGATTAAATAATTGGAGCAAAAACCTGATAGATACTATGTGTAATCTAACATTAATTTTAATTCCCATGGAAATCGTTGAAAATAATACCATTTTCAATAACGGTTGGTAATGAATGAAATTGAAAAAAATACATGAAAATGCCTTGTGATCAACCGCTGTACTGAAGTATATGGGACACGTCTACAAGAATCAAAGAATTCCAAACGGCTAAGTTTTACTATTATCGTTTAAAGAGTACCACTCTCCACATCCTGGATCCATCAGCTTAGCTTAATAAATCCTGAATTTAACATACTAAAAGAATTCAAACCTATAGGAAAATAGGTTTGAAGATTAAAACCTACTTCCAAGACTTAAACACATAATTACTAATTAGTTAGCTGGAGGAGTCAAAAAATCATAATTACCTAGCCATTACTAAAGCCAACACAGAGGCAGCTAAAGCCGCGGGTGAAGTCAAATTATATAAGTTCTTCTCCAAATACTTTTGGGCACGCTTCGCGATATCTGCATCCATCTGAAACACAAATTGGATTCTTTTGGTTTGTTTATACAAACTAAAATACATAGTGCTTGCAGTATGTGCTTAAGTGGCTAGTATATACAGTTAAAAAACCAGAGATCCTAAGTTCAAGTCTAGTTCGGGTCAAATGTAAATTCTTGGTAGCAGCCTGGAGTTAAAAAAATTTGTTAAGCCACGTCGAGGCAAAGCCGTTGGTCCTGCGCTTGATCTCTCAAAGATTTTCAGATCGTCCCAGAGTTTGAGAAACTCTGGGACGATCTGAAAGTGAAAGGAATAGATAATGCACTTGTGTCTGAGCAAAGACTTGGGCACTATAATATCTCCTGCTCATTTGGCTAGTCTTAGAGATTGGGCGCTGTGGCCGAAATCAGCCGGGAGATTATTTAAACTTAAATGGTTGACGTTCGTCTGTTAGTGTCTCCTAATCTTTAGAACGACTGAGCCGATTTTAAGAGGATTTTTACTGGTACTACTTTCTAAAACAACTATGTTTTCGGATTATTTCGCAGATTTATTTTGATTTTTGCCCGAGGAGTGCTTTACAGCAAACATAGTTTTATTTCTAATCTATTTATTAAAAATATCAAATATTCTCGTAAAACTAAGAAAGTATCGAGTGTTATTGCTTAATAACTTTAGTTCTCTTTCAAACAAGAATATCAAAATTGGCCGATTTTAAAATAAAGGTACTATCTGCATACAATGTTTTCGCTCATCGCATACCGTTTTCTATGATTCTTTTTTTGTCACTTATACTTAGTAGTAATTCGATAAGAAATTTCAGCCCTAATGATGAAATAATCAACAAAGTCCTTTTTAATTTAAAAGTAATCATTTTATCGTCATAATAAGCAGAGTCACAGGTAAAAGCTATTAAATAATTATAATACCTCATTTTCAACACCAACTTCCAACAAAGTGGTCAACGTTTCTGCGGTTACTTCTACAGTTCTCTCCCATTCCACTTCGTCTTTCGTCATATTGCCATCTCTTTCATAATAATAATATTCATTTACATCAATTTCTTTTTCAGTACTATTAGTTTTGATTTCTACCGGGAAATAATCAACCTCCTTATCTGCTGATAAAGGTGTGAATGAACCATCTGAGTTCTGCCGTTTTTGTATCCAAGTTTTGATAGATTGTAGTAAGTTAGGATCAATTGGATAATAGGATTGTATTTTGTTGAGGATCTCTAATATTTTGATGGTGGACAAATGGCTGCTTACTGAGGGATGGTCACTGAACGAGTTATCGCTTTTGCGAAACGAGAGAAGTATTTGGACCTGAAAATAAATATATTTAAATAAATATTATTTTTATTAAAATGTTAATCAGATACGAACATATAAAGCTGAAGAGTTTGTTTGTTTGTTTTTTTTCGTTTCAACGTGTTTTTACCGGAACTTATAGTTCATAGACTATACTACATTAGAACCTTTCGGAGTGGATCAATTTCACATCAATAAACTATATCGAGCCACGGGGCAATGCTAATTAATTATCTTCTTTATATTACGTACCTACTCAAAATCTCATACCAAATTAAATTGATTAATATACTAACATAAATTATGTAAAATAATTTAATAATTAAAAAAAAACATAGATACAAAATCAAAATAAATTAAATCACCTGTTCCGGTAGCTTCTTTAAAATCCTCTCTCTTTCATTAACATCAACTAAATGAGGGATGTGTTCTAACGCCAACAAAGGCGCTAAATCGGCAGTCGCGGCTGCTATCTGCGAGTCTCTCCACACATCAGACATTTGGTCCTCATTTTGGAAGTTGTATAGTGGCAGATGTAGACCACCAGATATGAGGAGGTTCCCTGATGCAGATCCTGGAACTACGCCATGTGGGAGACCGAGTTCCAAAACTTGAGAGAATCCAGCTTCTTCGTTGAAGTTCCATATCCTGGCATGGGATTGGTGTGTTCATTATAAATGATAAGCTTTGTTAAAACATTAGAATGAGATGTTTTTAACAATTTAGTATTACAATAGTACTATTGATTACAATTACTTATATTGAAACGGAAAATCAGGAAAATGTCAAAAGTAATATCCAAGATCCGATACTCGCATACATTGTCATATATGACCCTGTTTAGGTTATTTTATATGACAATGTATGCGAGATCTCAGATCCAAATATTAGTAGCTATGACAATCTGCAAGCTGTATTTTAATAGATAAGTCCTTATTAAACGAAAAAAATCAATTAATTTTAACTATAACCTTCCCTCCTCGCCTCTAACAAACTTTATTGCCAAATATCTTCCGATTCCTAATACTCCTACCATGCACGCCACCGTGATCTGTCTATATTTACTTACACAATACACACACACAAAAAACTATACCCAAGCACTCACGTAAAATTCGCCACATCACCTTACAAACATCTAAACCCGACGTACATCCATACGTCCACCCAGCTCCCAAATACTCCTACATTACTCACCACTATAACCCTCCCCATATTTACTTCTATTAGCTCTAATAGATACACAAAACCAATATATTTTTTTAAATTTTCGCGTTTCATAATTATATAATAATTACACTACATGAATTCGTTACTGGATATATGTCTACCTTTTTCCCGACGTGATCACGGGCAGACTATAATCATTATATAAACAAAATCAAACCAGAACTCACCTAAAATCAGCTTCATCTCCCCATAAAGCGCTAAACCCGACGTACTTTATCCGCATATCGCCAGCCAGCGGCCACACGAGCAGGCGGCGCTCGGCCGGCGCCGCGCCGCGCCCCACCGACAGCCGCCCGCCCTCCCACCACACCCACCACGCGCACCACTCTAGGCATTCCGTTGTTGGTTCGGTTTGCTCTGCACTTGCTAGGTGCACGTCGTAACCTTGTGGAATTTATTGTTCATAATTATTTTACTTAATAATTTATTGTACATAATTGTTTTATAGTCCGCCAACCTGCACTTGGCCTGCGTGGTGGACTATGGCCTAATCCCCGTCGTATTGAAGGGAGGCCCACCCCCAGTAGTTGGACGTTAAAAAGGGCTCAATACAAATATTATTTTATTTATTTTTTTCTATGTGAAAGGAATAAACAATAAAATAGTATTTTACATTAAAATAAATAGTTAGTATATATAAGTGGGAGACAGGAGCTCTAACTATATCAACCCATTAGGTTATCATTATAGTTGTTATTTTATTTTATGTCACAAAGTAGCAAGACTTACGAGTGTACAAATGGCTTGAAGCTTGCTTGTTCAATTCAATTCAAATTTCTTGTTAATGGCTTCAAAGCGTGCCAGTTAAGCACAAATTACTTCGCAATTATCACTAAACGTTTGTATGAAATTTCTTAAAATAAAGCAAGATCTCCTAGCTGTTTCCAAATGTTTTTCAAGTTAACACTCACCATGTTTTCCTTTAGCAATCCAAACTCGACTCTTCTCAAAAACAACTCGATACATATCATCTGAGGGTTCTCGTATCGTTGATAAAGCGACGTGAGCAGCGCCTTGAGCTTTCAATTCTAGTACTAGACCGGCCCTGTTTCTTGGCGCGGCGACCCATTGCCATTCCCATGAACCACGAGAGGATACTGCTAGATGTTCTGAAAAAGTCATAGAAAATATATGTAACTTTTTAAAAGTAAATACAAAGTTCAAATTGCTTAAAAGATTAATTTTGATACGGTATTCTTATTTAGTTTACGTATTTATGTATGTCAGAAACGTAAATAAGTAGAGGTTTTTACTTAAAATATATACAAAATGAATACGTACATAGTGTTATTACACGTAAATATACACAGGACATTTATATAACGAGGTCCCACCGACTGAGTAGTGCGTTTATCTAATATTTAATCAAATAACAGATAGATATATTTTTTTTAATAAATAATGTAATAATCGGACCCAGTTATGCAAAAACAGCTATGTGCGCAAAAGTACCAACAGAGTTATAAGCATTTTATTATAAAAAATAAAATAATTATAAACAATAAACAATACTTATATAAATATTGTTCAATTTTAAAATAACTAGAAAAACAAATCGACATCAAAATTTATTAAAATTTATTAAATTATCGACAGAAAAATGCTTATAACTCTGTTGGTACTTTTACGCACATGGCTGTTTTTTGCATAACTGGGTCCAATTATGTTTAACAAAGTCCACTATTGCACTGCAATTTTAGCTTATAAAGATAAAATAAACATAAATACCAACCGTTCGCACAAAAGTAAGCACTTTGCGTATCGCTTCTGTGAAGACCTTCAGGAAGAACCAACACACTTGCGGAGCGAATCACTGAGCCAACTAACGTCTCATTGTTAAATGAGGTGTAAGATACTGAGCAGTTATCCGCGCTATAGCCGGTCACTTCAACTGAAAGAATAAACAAAATTATATTATTAATTGACTGTGGTTTGTTTTCTTTATTTTATTTCGGGGAAGTTAGAGGTCCGATTTGTTATCCAATTTGAACAGAAAGAAGGTAATGTTTTCCGAAGTTTATGATTTTGTACACGATAGTTAAAATAATATGAGGCTTCTTTCAGTCGTTAAGGGTAAAGATATATAATTTTTTTTTATTATTAAAGTCAAGCATGTCGTGTCCCGTCCGTCCCGTAGCGACCAACAATTTAAATTATAGTTGCAGTCAGTTAGGAGCACGGTAATGAATATGTCATTATGGATTTGGTCGTTGGTCGTCAATTGCGCAGTGAATTTTATTTGTTTTCGTTTTAGACATAGACATATAATAGCTCTAATCTGAATTAAATATAAATATGTTGTGACATTAACACACAGCACCATCTAGTTCCATTGTAAGCTACGAGGCATGTGTATAGACACCAGATAGTTGATACACTACACATAATAATAACTTGAAATACATACATATTATAAATATAAACACCCATGACTGGAGTACAAACATTCGTGCTCATCAAACAGATGAATGCCTCCAGCGGGACTCAAACCCGCGACCGCTGGCACAGCAAGTAGGGTCACTACAAACTGAGCCAAACGTGTCGTCAATATAATACAATATACATAATAAGTTTTTCCATATTATGTAAATCTAACTAAATACTTCTTACTTAATATCTAAAAAATTAATACTAAATACAAAAAATATATAACGAAAATAGTTAACCGCACATAAAATTTATCTACGTTTCATATATTTAAATACATCAATGGCAATTGCTACAAAAGTACTGTTTATATGGGTCATAAAAGCACATCAATCTCTATCAAAACAGAATCAAAAGCTCGACAAAACGAGCACGAATACGTATAGTAAAGTATTGATACGTAAAATTTGTTACAGAATGAGCCCTCAATCATTATGACGTGAGTCATTTTAGTCACGACGAACGTAAAGCGTTTTATTCTTTGCTATATTCTATTTTGTGTCATGTAACATTGTGCCCCATTTTCATACTTTTAATGTGAGCTTTAAGCGTTTTTTCAATATATATTTCACTATACAGGCTAAATATAAGTAGAAATTAACGGGTAAATGTTAATTATGAATTTATAGCATGCCTATTTCAAAAATCGAACATAACAATTTTGCACCATCTTATCCATACTAATATTATAAATGTGAAAGTGTGTTTGTTTGTTTGTGCTTCTTTCACGTTGAAACGGAGTGATGGATTGGCATGATTTTTTGTGTGGAGATAGTTGGAGGGCTGGAGAGTGTCATAGGGTACTTTTTACCGCGAGAGATTATCGAATTCCCACGAGAAAACACGTTATAATACAATGCAAAAAATATTTATGATCAGAATTACTTGAAACTTTGTATTTACGCTTTTTAATAAAATTAAATAAATACGTGTCTTAGCATTTTTCAAAATTCATCCTATAAGGGGGTAAATCAGGTAGAGAAAGTTTGTATGAAACTGCCCTATTAGATTTTTTTTGTAGTTTTAGCGCGAGCGAAGCTGCGGGTTCTGCTAGTAATGTTATAAATGTGAAAATTGTCTCTATCTATGTTTTTTGATATACTGAGTTTATAATTTGGAGGCTTAAACTAGACGTCGTTCTATAACCGATAGAAGAGAATTTTATTTGTTTGTCATTTCAGTCAATTTATAATTTTTTTTTATTTTTCAACGATTGTAGAATGACATCTTGTCTAAGCTCTCTGAAGAGTGTGCTTTTGATTTCGAACAATAAATGATTTTTGTTTACTTATGGCAGTACATTTTTTATAAAAGAGTAACTTAAAATTGTTAAAGTTGTATTTCGTGTATGTTTGAACATGTTCAAAGTCAAATCATGCACATCTTACGAATGATTTAAAAACAGTAACATATAAAAAAAATAAAGTGACATTACAAATTGTCATATATAATCGCCTTTACACCATGTGCGAATAAGGGCACAATCCTAATAATACATATTTTTCAAACCGATAAAATATATCTGTACTTACATATTTTCCCATTTGAAAATTAGATCCAAAACTACGTATTCTATTTATAGACTTGGATTGGATATTATGGATCATACGATCAAGACAGTTTGAAAACAACTTTTACCTATGCTATATATACTATACTACTAAGAAATCATAATATCTCCAAAATCAATTTTGGTTATACGAGAATAGCTATAGTAAAGTGCCTTATGCAAATCGAACCGCAGTACTCACCAAGTTATAAATAATCGTCGCTAACTCTCGCAACTTCCACCATGACATAGACATTAAGAATACCGCAACACGACAGAGTTACTAACGTAATGGAATTTCAGTGAGTTTATTGCCATGTACCCCAGTTTGTGAAACATAGATTCGCAAAGATTTGCTCTACGTTTTAAACTCTATTTATGTTTAAGTTTTAAAGTATCTATATAAACAGTGTAGCCTAAGGTAGTGGTTGGCCAATTGTAACGCGCTCACATGGAAAGCCGAGTGAAGTGGGTTCAAATCCCGGGTCCTGCACCTCTAATATTTTTAAGTGCGAATCATTTCCAACATGATTATCACTTCTCTTACGGTGTAGGAAAACATAGTGAGAAAAGTTGCATGTTTGAGAGAACTTAGTAAGTTTTCGAAAGACATGTGAAGTTGCCAACCAGTACTTGACCAGCTCGGTGGACTGTGGCCTGTTTAACCTCGTATTAAAGGCCCTTGCCCACCAGTGGGACATTAAAAATTGCTGAATACAATATTATGTGACATAGTATATTTTTTTGTCCATGCAAAATTACTGGGGCAGAGCGCTAGTCATCTACAAATCCTAAACTCTAAACATACAATTACATAAATCAAAATACACAAATATTATGTACAAGAACTTTCAGATTTGGAGAGCTTCTGTCATTTGCATAATACACGATATGACGTCATTAAACGTGATTGTGCTGACATGTTCGATATAAATGTTAATTCGGATGGTTTAGTTACATAATTTAGATAATACATTACTGAAAGTGTACTGTGTTTAGTGGCTAGCAAATATGACTGCAGGCTTGTAAGTTCTGGATTCAATACCCAGATATCAAGTATTGCTATTAGATTATTTGTCAAGAAATCCCAGAAACAGCCCTGAGTTGGGAAGTTTGTACTGCAACATGTGCCTTATAGTCCGTAAAGTCGTCTGTCCTGCGATTGATTTCTCATCAGTCATATTGAATCACTGTCGTCACTCGTCCTACTTGACTTTAGGAAAGAAAGGAATAAAGAGTGCGCTTGTATTAACTCTGCCCTTAACTCGTGGGATTTTCAGTAACGTTGAATTTCGTTACTTTTTATAAAGTTTTCATACATAAACTCGTGGATTAAATTGTTGAAAAATGCCTGACATCCAAAGTAAAGCTGTGAACATTTTTGTCTAAAAATTTTCACAGGCTTCTCCAAACTCCATACTGTCTTCTCCATATTAATGAGATATGCGTTATAATTTAACACGATTGATTCAGTACTAAAGATGCTAAAAGCCCACACTGACAAACAGGCTAATCATTTGAAATAATATATTCATAAGGGATTAGTAAAATGTCTTGTTTACTGTTATATGAACAATGTATCAAAGGGTTTCATTAGTTGCAACTCTGACTAAAGTAGGTTATTGTTAGGCTTTTGGTGAGTACTAAATTTTGCATTGTTACGACTCACTGACCTAATTTTCGAATATGATTGCGAATGCATAATGGATAAGACTATGCTAATATAATATTTATATGCATTTAATATCTTTAGTGGAGCAATAAACTGTAGCAAAGCGTAAACAGTTTAAGAAATAATCTGCTAAGTGGATGTTTACGACAGACATCAAAAGAAGAAGTTGCTAATTCGATTAGTTTTTGGTGTAAATTAAAAAATAATAATTAAAAAGGCATATCTGAAGCAGACTTTATATATCCTAAGCCATTGCCATGATAATTAACAGACAAGAACAGTTAATCGTAAATTGCCGTGTGTAAGATAGGACCACGACATTTTCCAGAAAGAAATTGTAATTAATAGAAAATTTTCGAATTTTCGAATAGTAAAATGTTCTTTTTTTATGCATATAAAAAGACCAGCTGTGTATTGAGAGTTCAGTTGAATTGAAGTTAAGAGAAGAAATACGAAAAAATAAAAAAGTGAAGAAAAGTGGAACAAAGTCGTAGTAAAAGTGTATCTAATGGTGAAAAATAGTATTCAGAGACAAAATTAAGCCAGCACTGTGTATGTACTGTTTGTGTTTGAGAACCGCCATAAGTGACTGTTACGAACGCAAAGTAATAAAACATCTATAATATATTGCAGAAGACGTACTTTAATTTCCTATCCCAGAACTCACAGAACGTAACGGTATCATAAAAATCTCAAGACAAAATACCAGCCTTGAGTATGGTATTATTGCTTATAGTGATTTTGAACTCTTTAATTTTGTAGAATTTGAATATTTTCCTTTTTTCTTCTTTCTAAGGTCATTGATATTAAAAGAATACCATTTAATAGAGTTTGCAAGATACTATCTGGTGTACTTTCAAATACACATTGTAACATTCTTTACAATGAGCTAGCAAAATGACATCGAGGTGTTTACAAGGCAAACTCGCTCTTGGCTCCTGTACATTCGGCTAACACAAATATATGAGAAAATTGCTTCACATAAGTTACAAAAAGTTTATGCAATAAAGAGCAAAATCCTTTGCGGGCGTGTTGTTGTGGAACAAGATTTTCTTCAGCTTTGCTTTTGTATTTCAGTAAAAATATTCTTTGAGAAAACTAATAATAAATTATATTACATGTAAGCTATATAAAGTGTGATTAGGGAACGGGTTTTGTTCACAAGCACGTATGAAGCAAGGATTTGTACGACATTTTATTTTATAACATTGTTATTGTTAATAACTATTATCGTTGTGAAGACGGAGAATATTGGCAGCTTCTTTTAAAGTGGGCGCACGGGCCTCCTTTAGTGCGAGGGGGATCAGGTCATAGCCCACCACGCTGGCCAAGTGCAGGTTGGCGGACTTCACATGCCTTTCCATTTGCTCTCTCAGACAAATATCTTCATGATAGTTTCCTTCACCGTAGTGGCAATCATGTTTAAAATGATTCGCACATGAGAATATCAGAGGTGCGAGACCCCGAACTTAAACCCGCTTAGCCCAAGCGAACGCGCTATCACTGGGCTATCACTGCCTATTCGCTGTAATGATTTATAATATTCATCCGACATACGCTGATGGATAAAAAGTAATTGATATAATTTCTCATTTGGACCACATCTAAAGGTACGTATTACGTTCAAGAGTATAGTCCTGTTATTAATGTTGTTTTGTATTCTTCCAAATAAAATAGAATGTAGGTACATGTATAAAATATTCTCATTTAACATAATAAAGTGTCAGTTTGTTCATCATTCACGTACACATGTAGTTAAGAAGCGAATCGGGATGTTTTTCTCTTAGATATAGTTCATGTGCCGGTGAGCGACAAAATCGGTAAAAGCGCGGTTAAGCCGTTTCTGACATAAGCGCGCACAAACGCACAAACAGACAGAAATTAAAAAAAATCATTATTTTGGGTTCTATTGCGTTAATAAAGACCCCCAATAATAGTTTTTCTCAAATATCTTCCTATTACAGACAGCGATCAGTTCACTTTTATTATATGTACTTATAAATTTTATAATAATAATATAGATATGGGGTAGTCTATTAGAAAAAGCTACTTAATATTGTACCTAAGATACTTAATGTCATCCAAAAGTAACTCCTCATAAGATATTGAATCAAATCTACGCTGAACAGTACAATTAATAGTAATAAATAAATAAAATAAAAAGATAATTAACCCAAGACACAGATAAATGAAACGTTGATAGTTCTACATAGAACAAACATTGTATCGCTTAGAGTAAGCGAAGGAATTTGCACAAATCGTTTTTACAAGAAGACGTTTTCAGAAAACAACAAAGGAGTATCACGTATAATGTATCATATAAAACAAATATTTAGTTTGTAATTGTGAATACAGGCTATATTTACAATTACTTCGAAATCTCAAAGTTCTATAGAAATATGAGTACTCGCAAAGCAAAAAGTTTGACTTTTGATTTAATTATTAAGATATGAACAGACGTTAATAATTCGTATCGCGAACTTCATTAAAAAATTTTACTTATAAGATTACTTGGGTGGAGAACTCGAATAAATTTTTGCTTTGTTTTCGTATTTTTTATGTTTAAGGAGCTTTTTCAAAATGAGGATTATAGTCATATTACTTAATTTTGTCGAGATTTCGTTTTTTTTATACAAAAGAAGGTTTTACATTAAAATATATTCATTATATTATATAATTAAAGTTAAAAGTTAAAAAATATTGTAAGGTGCTTTGGTGCCATTTTTCAATATATATTTTTTGAATTCATTTTGTTATTTGTGGGTAGGCTGTCTGTAACAACTATATAATACCTTAGAGACATCTAACACCTCAGTCACTCCCGTAAAAAAATCAAAATAAATTCGCGAAAAAATCCGAAAAGATAGTTTTATTTAAAATGTCAAGTATTCGCGTAAATATAAGAAAGTATTATATAAAAAAATAATAAATTAATTAAAAATACCTTTATAACTTCATTATATTAATATATATACGAGTATATTATAAATTAAATTATAAATTGTAAGAAAAGATGCGCAATATATCATGTGATTTATTTTAAGATACACTTCGGCTTCACCAATATCGTGTACGTTTATTGATCGAAAACAACCCAACATTTACACGGTAGATTCACGTTGTAACTTTGAATAAAGAGTATTGTATTGAAAATTAATTACGCGTATGTAACGAAATGTTTACTGAAATTATAAACCGTTTTTCAAGGTGTTTAAGAGATCGATACAAGACTAAGTTTAGCACAAAATAATTTTAAGCTTTTTCTTACGGTTTCGCACGCGCTTGTGTTTTCACTTAGTTCCTAACAAGTGAATGTAATGCCACCTGTTTACAGAGTCACATATATTTTTAGCTCTTAAAAAAACTCGGAAATATTTGTAAATCGAAAATTAAATATAAAAATAAAGTTCTGAAGTCCTTCCATCAATATTTCACCAAGAAATAGATATTTTACTTAGTTACTAATACTAGCAAATACGAACATTTACAATATACTGGCGATTTCGTCGGCATATTATGTGCTTAGGTACCTAACAGCCTATGTATTACTCTATGCCATAGTCTATCTAGGTAATTAATTTTATCCAGATCCGTTAAGGGTTTATGCATAAAGGAGTAACAAACATATATACATAATATTATATACACATGTATAAAACTCTAATGTTTTTTACAATATCTAAAATCTAATTTACAACTTGAGACTAAGACATAATATATACATAGTTTCAACTAAATATGAAGCCAAATAACAATGTTTTAAAATAGTATACAAATGACAATTTGAATACTGCGCGATAGTAAATAAATATTATTAAAGAAAAAAGCTAATATCATGCTCTTTCTCTCTAGAATATAATATAATATTATTATTTAATCATTTATTCCCAAAAATTGTATATTAATTATAATACCAATATAAAATTTCCCTTATTCTTTATAGAAAGTAAATGATATGTATAACAAAATCGAGAATAGTAGCATGAACAGCAAATCACGCTACTATTTTTGACTTACACATTTATTTTGGCGGACTCCATAGTATATATAACATACATACATACATACATACCGGTAATATTTTTTCTTCCGGGAGTATTAACAGCAACTCGAACAACCAACTGTGTACCGCCTCGAGGGCCAAGCCTCAAGCGTTCGGTTACGTAAAGTGCTCCTGTACTAGCGAACGCCGCTCCCGCGCTGAGAGCTAGTAGAGCTGTTACCTAGAATAAATTGTGGTATATGTATAATAATGCTTTATGGATTTGAAATAATGAGGTTTTTAAATATATGTTAAGAAAGCAACAAGTTTTTTTCAATATTAATTAATAATAATAAGAGACAATGATAAAAGAAATGAAAGTACAATTTTTTTTAAAGCTTACAACGATTTTTCGAAGTAATTTCATTTTAATTATTTAATATTGAAACGGAAATGGGAAAATCTTTTCAGTCTATATCATTTAAGGTCGCTTTAAATTATTTAGTTTCTAATAATAAAAAAAATCTAATAATTTTATTATTATATAATAAGTGTTTTCATTTTATAATTCTTGGGTTCAAAGTTTAATCTGAAATTATTTATATTTATACCTCACTTAATTTGTTGGGGAATTAACACACAGCACCATCTAGTTCCATGGTAAGCTACGAGGCTTGTGTTATGGATACCAGATAGTGGATACACTGCACAAATATAACTTTAAATACATACATATTATAAATATAAACAGTAAATACTCATTACTGGAGTATAAACATTCGTGCTCATTACACAAATGAATGTCCCCAGCGGGACTCGAACCCGCGACCGCTGGCACAGCAAGTATGGTCACTACAAACTGAGCCAAACGTGCCGTCACATTGTATTTGTAGATAAATTTACTTCTTCTTTTAAACATGTTAGAGAATTAAATTGAAAACTTACTAGCGTCAGATAACTTTGATACAATAAATGTTTCTAAACTCAACGTGTCTAGAAATAATTTATAACTTGATCATATAACCCCCGCGATGCTAAAGTAGGCGTCTCTTGAGTATCGTTCGGTAAACTACTATATTATTGGAATGCGACAAGGAGATATAACAAACGTGGGATGAGTGGTAGGAATAGGGAAATATTATTTAATATATATTAATAAATAAAAATGAATGTTCGTGTGTTTGTCGCTATGCGTTCCATTGATCTGATTGCGATGAAACTCTGGTGGGATATTATGTATAGGTCTGCAAAGGTTGCTTGCGCAAAAAAAAACTGTGGACGTCTGTATTTTATGCATTTCTTAACTATTCAAGCTTAAAGAAATTACCTTTTTTATTATAATAATTATTTTTTAATATATTATGGTAAAAAAATAATAACAATAAACTATTGAGATTAATAAAGTAACATTAGTTTTTATGCTCAGATCAATTTTTCAAATTTAAATTTAAAATATTTTATTCAGCATTAAAGTATTACAATGTTTTACTGAACATCATGAATCTATTACCAGTTCGGAAACATGAAGCCTCAGACCTGAGAAGAACGGGTGATATTACACTTATACACGTATCTACTGTTCTACATATAACTTATTTATATATCAAAAGCTATATTAAAATTCCAAAGATTGTGAGTGTCTATTTACTGTTACTTCTTCAACTCCATCGATTCAACGGATTTGAGTGGATTTTGGAAGGGAAATAGCGTTCATCTTGGATTAACATGAAGATTACCAGCACCACATGAAAGGGTCGCGGAGTATATTTTATTTATTGCGGCTTTTTAAAAATTTCATTTTATTTATTTTTTAAGTCTAATAAACTACAATTGCAAAATCTAACATAACATTATACTAGCTACTAGGTGCCTAACAGTAGTCTATGTAGGCGTATAGGCACGCACACAGGCAGACACACACACACACACACACACACACACACACACACAAAACTTTTGCATTTATCATAATATAATAGTTTCCATTTCTTCATATTTATCCATACAATATAATATTTTATTTAGTGGAGCTATCATATTTTATCTAATGACAACACAGATACCTGAGCAAATTTTGAAGCAGACGTTAGTACGGCGTTCGTTAAAGCTGTTGAAATTCACTCCCAGGAGTCATTTGAAGTGGGACAATGCAAACTAGTTCGCAAGTCCGCTTGATTACGAGTCGCTCTCTTGTTTCGCAAAATTAAAACTTTTATCGTTCGTATACGTTTTGTCATCTACAATGGACTTTAGCTTTTGTATTTTACCTAATTAGATGCTAGGAACTGTTTAAAGTTGTTGAGAAACTTTGGCTGAAGCTATTTAATGAATCGAAAGATTTAAGTTTTCTTTTTTTTTAAATCGATTGAAAGAATAGAGTTGGAAATGCAATTCGAAATAAATTTAATAAAAATACAAGACCATTCCCACTAAATAATACATAAGAAACACCCTCGATAAACTAAAATAAGCAGCTTAATATCAACCACATAATTCATGTATCGTATTCACATGTAAAGAGAGTTCCTCATATACTTTAGTAACGTAGATTACTCGGAATACCCAATAGGGATTCGATGAGCGACGTCGATCGCAAACATATCGATAACGCACGTGCGCTACTAAAAGTCTTTTGCTATCCATGACGGAATAGAGGTGCGTTATAGGTAACATAATCTATACATATAATAAAATACTGAGTCGAATCTGTCTGTACATTAAATATTATTTGGAAAATCTTATTGAAATATTTATTTTTCGATACAGAGGCCGAATCTAGTTTTTAGAATTTTCGTCTGTGTGTCTGTCTGTGACCGTATCACTAGAAAACCACTAGACAGATTATGATGAAATTTGGTATGGTGATAGCTGGTTATCTGGGTCAACATAGAGGATACTTTTTATTGCGGGAAAATATCTCATCTCTGAGAAGTTTATTACTTTCGGTCTCATAGTAGGCACATGGAAAAAGGTCTGTCTGTTAATCCAAGATAAGAGATTTTATTCTGAATTCCACTCAAATTGACTGAGCTCTACATATAATGAGGAAGAAAAAACATTAACACACAAAGTGTCGTATGTATAATATTAGTGTAAAAAAAGAACGAGCGAGAGAACAAGAACAAGCCACCGAGTTTCTTTTAAAAATTTCTTCGGACTGAGGCATTTTTTCCAAACTGCTTGGCAGAGTTTTAGTCAAACTATAAGTGTACATAATATTTAAGAAATAAAACAATTTAATTTTAATGCTATACGTATAGTACATAATTACAAATATTAATTATTTATTATTAGGTGAGATATAAGTACATATACTGTATATTGTTTAGACTTTCTAATGCATGTTAATACAGATATAAAATATTAATAACTTATATCTTAGCCTATATACAAGCAAAACCTTAAAAACATTGCCTACAAAATATTTATCTTTTAAAGGAACATTAATTATTGCGTTGAACCTACTTTTTGAAGTTGGCTGAATATTCTAACTCATAATTACGTAAAATAATACGCCAAATTGAGATTAATTTCGTTTGTAGTACGTGATTTATTCCGGAAGCCAGTCACACTGGTACTGTTTGTAATTTACATAAATATAATATGTATATAGTGAGATTCCATGAGATTAAATTTAACACCATGCATCAGATAATCCAACACCTTCACATACTAATTGGTTTGTACATCTCTAAACCAATTTACCTTTGAAATATACCTACCTATGTTGGTTGAGAAATACGAATAACAGATATTCTCAGGCTGAGTGAATAAGTTTGAAATGAAAATAGATTTTATTGTGTGTTATTAAGGTCTAAAATATATTAAATATTTACTTACAGGAGCGAACAAGGAATTAATTTGTATAGATACAATTTCACGTAAAGCAAATAATATGTGATAACGTTTATAAGAGAGGGTCCTGAACAAATATAATTTATTTTGTTGTTTTAGCTATGCTCTTCTATACATATAATAAAATTGTAACTAAGCCGAATCTGTACATTAAATATTTTTTGGAAAATCTTATTGATATAAACATTATTATCGATACACAGGCCGAATCTATCGTTTTTAGAATTTTTGTCTGTCTGTCTATCTGTTACCGCATCACAGAAAAACCGCTGGAGCGATTTTGATGGAATTTGGTATGGTGATAGCTGGTTATCCATGTCAACAAATATGATACTTTTTACCGCGGGAAATTGTCTCATTTCTGAAAATAAAATACAAAAACTGCAATGTAAGAGTATACTAATATGTAAAACCTGAGAATAAGGTTTTTGGTCATCGGAACGCGGGCGGAGCTGGGGGCAATGCTAGTTAATTATATATTACGAAGACGTTTTAAGTCAATGCTGGAAGCCTATTGATTTAGGATCAATATTGGAGGGACTTAATCCAAAGTTCATAGTGAAATAAAATAAGATTTTGTATTACTAAAATCTTTCTTTTTTTTGTATATTTTTTAAATTTGTTTTTATAAGCGTAATATAATTTTAGTATTAAATCTTTTTGGTTTTTGTCGAGGATTTTTTTTGTGGATCCGAACAGATATTTACCCAAAAAATTATCCATAGTAATAATACAAAAAAAAAAAAGAAACCGAAAGATAATTTTATTCGAATATACTTACATCCATACAATTATTGATGTTATTAGTGATTTTTACGTCCAGTTCAACAGTTTCGCCAACTTTCAAGGCTGGAGGGAGAGCGAAGTCTAATTGAATTGGTCGGAAGACATTAATCGTTCGAGGTGCAGAGAATCTAAGTCCACGATTCGATAGTGATAACGCCCATAGAGACCAGCGACCAGCCTCTGATGGAGCCGCGATTGTTACTCCGTCTGTTGATAGCTGAGTTCTGCAATAAATGGTTTTATATTATTTTTTGAGCATTTATAAATTTAATTAAAGAGATATTTTAATTAAAGTTTTTAAGAAAACTTATCGGGTTATATTATAAAAATATATAAAAATAAAAAAAATATAAATTACAGAAAATAATGGTTTTATACAGATGTATATTAATGGAAGTATACTGTGCTATAAAACTATAGTAATCAAAACGTAATTCTGTATTTTTTTTTAATTTAGATCTAATTGAAAAATTATCTGTTAAAATTAATCTAAAAATTGGAAAGTATATTTTTTTACTATTTTAGGTATATTTAGGTCAATAGCTCTATAGTATGCTATGTATATCTATATACATCTCCTAATGCTTGTTCAGAAAATCTCATTCTACTCAGATAACAGCATCAGTTACACAGGATCACGAGCACTGAACATAATATCTCGATAATTTGGTACATGAACGCTACAAGCCAAACCAGTTGTACGATAATTAAACTGAACAATGAAAGGATTTTATCGAAAAACAATATCCGCAAACCAATTTGATAGCTTTAACTGACATGACCGAATAATGAACGCAATATTGAAAATGTTTTTTGTTCGCTTATTTCGCTGATTCTAGTGTAAGGTAATAAATGGGCCTTGTTTTTGTAATAATGAAATAAAATACATGAATTAACAGCGCTAAGATGGAGATTATATCATTGTTACGAAAATATGATTTGATGTATTCGATGAAAAAATTGAATTCTTATCGTACTTTCTACTATTATTATAAATGCGAAAGTTTGTGAGGATGTCTGGCTGTCTGGATGTATAGATTTATGGATGTTTGTTACTCTTTCAAGTAAAAACTACTGAATGGATTTTGATAAAACGTTACAATAATATAGCTCATACATGAAAAGAGCACATAGGCTACTTTTTATCCCGGAAAAATGTACGATTTCCATGGGATAGATTTGTTTTTCGGTTATAATCCCCTGAATCTACTGGATAAAAAAAAGCAGAAATTTGCTATTTATTTTATATAAAATTAAGTAGTACGTGTACTCTAATTTCTTTTACCATACTGAGTCAAACCCGAGCTAGTCGCTAGTTTATCGAACTATAAATAAATGGAAAAGTTTGTATATTATGTGAGTATAGTGTATATTTGTTACTCTTTCACGCTGTAACGGCACGACATATTTGAATGGAATTCAATTCATATATTAAAGACTATGACATATACTACCTTCTTATAGTGATAGGCACAAAGGGACGCAATCGGGCAAAGCGAGGGTAAGTCGCTTCGATAATATAATTTTTAAACGAGCTTATCGACCGGATATAGCAAAGCGGATGTATCGGAATTTCGAGTAGCGAGTAAAAGCTCGTAGACCATAATTTCATCAAAACGTCACGTAGCTTTTTCATTTGCTTCAATGAAAACATTCCTGATCGTCCGACGGGCAGTTTGTCATTCAATACGAATAACTTACGACCAGATGAGTCGACAGGTTGGAGATTTATGGGTGTTAATTCTGACTTATTTATTATTCAGGCTGCTATTTAATTAACTGCTTAAAATGTAAGAAGGTGCTTGACAAAAAAATGACATTTTATAATATTAGTTAATGTTAAAGCTATTAAAAACGGCAAATGTTTTTTTTTTATATTTTTGGTCGGCTCTAAGTTTTTTTCGTTTCGAAGGAAACGTTGCAAGTATAATAAGTAAGAAAAATAGATTTATGGTCTTATATAGCTTTTGCTCACGACTCTGTTCGTTAAGTTTATTTATATAGGTATAATTTATACGTCTTTAATGGTCGTAGATTATAAAATCCAAAAAGGTTTTTTCGAACCCAACTGAAATTGTAGAGATAAGCGCGTACAAGAAGGTTAACACGAAAAAATATTTTGCGTTTTAAATATTATTATACATTGTTTGTTTTATCTTTGTATATTTAGTTTATTATTTCTGCAAGTCTTACATTTATGTATGACTGCGTATTTCCTACGTGAACTTTTTTCCATCTCAAGTTTTTAACGCAGTCGGTTTTTTTTATTATTAAAATTTAATTTTTTAATACCACACGCAAGCAATACCTAAATTTTATATTATCTATATTAATAAAAAGTAATTAAATAAAAGTTTATGTTAGATACTAAACGTACTACTACATTGCATACATACATATGTAAATGTCATTATTTTTCGAGTGTACGAGCGGCATGAGTGTGAGTATTTTTTAGATCTTTCGCAAGAAGTAGGTAAATATACAAGCAACTCCATTTATCTACATGAGATAGACATGGAACTGTAACATAATATGTAATTAGGTATTATTTTATAAATTATTCACTACTTACGTATAATTAAAACATTTCCACATCCACAATCTGTCATGGGTCGCAGGCGGTACGAGATGTGCTGGGGCTCGTGGTACGGACGCTGTTCTCTGTCTGTATAAAACGCCACCACCGCAAGCTCCACCCCCCACGAATAGAGAAACACCTGCTGATACGAACTCTGGTCCTGGCTGGTCTTCATGATCAGCGCTAGAGGGAGACAAAAGATATTTATTAAATATGTCTATACTTTTACATCCAGCTTTTGCCCCTGACTCTGCTCGCGTTAATTATTATTTAAATATAATTATTTTGCTTCTAAGACCCATAGGCCCATAATATCGACGGCAGCTTAAAGCGCTAGTGAATGGTGTAAATGTTAATTCAAACTACGTGGATTAGTTAATCTGTAATAGTTATAACGACACTAAACGACGTAACGTGAAGTTAGATTTGGAGACTTAAAACCCCATTAATTATGCCTAAAAAATCATTTTATTTACAGTTTTTATATAAAAACTATTTTATATACAGTTTTTATATAAAAATATAAAACCTTTTTTTTCTGCTGCAACGTAATCCTGAAGAAAAGTTTATTTCAACAAACAAACAAGCCGCATTTTAATATTAGTATATCTAATAGCTAGATAAATATATTATTCCCGTAGTAATTTTAACGTACATCATAATTCATCTTACGTACATCCTTATTACAACTAATTCGTTATTTTCTCCTTTATCCAACCAGTTGCCTGGAAGAGATTACTTTTAATAATAAGTTTACTTTTAGAATATCTTTCAATTTTAGTTTAATTATATAAACTTTTACTTCTTAAGCAAATAACGAATAAAATTATATTTAAGAACATAAAATCAATAATAAAATCTTTTTTCCATATATAAGAATATAGTTGTATGATATATTTTTAATTTAAAACATTTACTTGAATTTTATATTAATTTTTGCTCGTGAATCTGTTCGTTTCGTGAATTGTGTGCTAATCGTAGCACACACGGCAATCGAAAGTTACCTATGTCCGTCCTCATAGTGTAATCTGTGTCTTTGACTTTCATCGATTTGAAACAAAGTGATTACTTCTGAAGACGGACAGAGAGATATATCAACGTTATTAATGTTATTTCTGCATTAAAATCTCTAGTTAAAAAAAATATTTACTGTCGTAAAAATATTATAATAACGCAACACCAAGATCAGAGTTATCTTAATCTATCTTATGGCAAAGGGTAACTCAGCTGATGCTGCTAAGATCGAAATTTCGAACAGCGCTTATTTTTAGAGACTTACATCCAGCTATCTAGATTCTAGGATGTTGAGTGAAGCAATATTGTTATTTCGACAGGTAATATAAAATGAAATAAAATATATAAAAGCCTTAAAAATAAATAGTAATCATATCTTAAGAATATGCATGCGTACGTGTAAGTGCGTGTGTATGAGTGTGTGTGTGCGTATGCTTGCTATGTGTGTACGAGTGAATGAGGCGAAATACGCGATTAAGCTACTAGAGAAATCCCATAAATCCATAGTAATATTATAAATGTGAAAGTTTGTGAGGATGGATAGATGTTTGTTACTCTTTAACGTCAGAACGGCTGAACGGATCTGGATGAAATTTGGCACAGAGATAGATTATAGTCTGGAATAGCACATAGGCAACTTTTTATCCCGGAAAAATATACGGTTCTCGTGAAATAGATTTGTTTTTATCTAGAGACAAACTCGAGGAGAAGGTGAGCTCATAGTAATTATATGTAAATGAGAAAGTTTGGATGGATGGATGTTTGTTACTCAATCACGCCAGAACGACTGAACGGATCTTGATGAACTTTAACACAGAGATAGATTATAGTCTGAAATAGTACATAGATCACTATTAATCCCCGAAAAATGTACAGTTCCCGTGGGATAGATTTATTTTTGTTTTTCACTAGGGACGAACCCGAATGAAGCGAGTGTGAGTAGCTAGTAAATAATAAAACTTCGATATTTTCATTGAATACTCAGAGTGCCAAGAAAAATACCTATCAATCTATCTTTCATGAAGTGTTTTCGTAGTTGATAAATGATCGGGATCAAATGCGAGGTTTGAATTTCAATGATTTATCTGATACTACAGTACTACATACAGAGATGTAATATATTTTTTATTGTTTAACTTTTACATAAAAAATAGATTTTTATAAATCGAACTGTTACTTCAGAAGACAGGCGAGTTAAAATACACAAAAAAAAAACCAAAAGAAATCCTCTCCACTTACATGCTATTACTATCGATAATATTTTAATTCCTATCCAAATTATGCCTCTTTCTTCTATTCAGTAATTTTCTCAATAATAAAAAAAATATGTTAGGACATTAATACACAGCTGCATTTAATTTCATGGTATTATAATCTACGAAGCTTGTGTTATGGATACCAGATAGTTGATACATTACACTTATATAATTTTAAATACATATTATAAATATAAGAACCCATAACTGAAGTAGAAACATTCGTGCTCATCACATAAATGAATGCCCTCGGCGGGACTCAAACCCGCGACCGCTGGCATAGCAAGTATACTACAAACTGAGCCAAACGTGTCAAATAGTGAGTGAAAAAAAATGCGAAAATATTCTAAAGTGTTTGTATACATTATTGAATTTCGTATCGAAATTTTTAGCATATTTTTAAGGAAGTCCTATGGAAATATATTAATATCCTTATGGGTATCATAAAAATCAAGCAACATAATAAATATATTTTACATGTGGAAAGCATATCAGATAAAAACCTGTACATAGTGCACAAGAATTTTTACTTAACATCCTTAGCACTTATGACCACCTGGTACTTACGATGACGATACATAAGGTACTCTTAGTAAATTTTAAAAAGTATCTTGACGGTCGAAATATTAAACTTTTTCCGTCTAGACCTCATTCGCCAAATGTGCCGAGTATAACATACGATGAAGAACTTCGTTCCAATAACATTTGTTTACATTATTTGCAAAATAATAATTATTTTTATGTACTTGTCTGAGTATCAATTAATATTTATTAGTATCATAGATTTACATTAGCAAAGTATTCCGCGACAAAATAATAATATGCTTTGCGCAATAATCTATACATTTGTATGTATCTAATAAATCAATAATCTATACATTTGTATGTAAAATTCTGTGTCGGATCTGTACGTTAAATATTTTTGGGAAAATCTTATTGAAATAATTATTTTTACTGATACAGAGGTCGAATATATAGTATTTAGAATTTTTGTCTGTATGTCTGTCTGTCTGGGAACGTATCACGTGAAAACCACTGGACGGATTTTGATGTAATTTGCTACGATGATAGTTCGTTATCGTGTCCAAATATAAGAAACTTTTTACTGGGGAAAATATATCATCTCTGAGAAATCTATACGGAGCGTTAAAACGTACCTAGGGACGAACCCGACCCGAGCGAGGGTGAGTCGCTAGTAGCATAATATGTGTGTGGATATGTTTAAGATAAAAATTACGATTTTTTGCGGCAAGTAATTTTTTTTGGTGTTCACATAATAATTATTAATAAGTAATACTAATATAAAAAATAAATAATACTATTCTATTTGTTGATATGTTTGTCTTCCTTGTATATCAAGACGAAGCGTCAGACCGTTTTTTTTTTAGGGAAATGATTTTCATAGAGTTCCAAATCACAACAATTTTAAAGAACTTTTACTTTAAAAACTTTATCTATACTAATATTATAAAGAGGTAAAGTTTGTGATCTTGTGAGTTTGTGAGTTTGTGAGTTTGTGACGTTGTAGGGGGTAATCTCTGGATCTACTGAACCGATTTTCAAAATTCTTTTACCAATAGAAAGCCACGTTGTTTCTGAGTGTTATAGGCTATATATTAACCCGAAAAATAAAAATGCTTTTTCGTGGCAGTCGGATTTGCAAAGTAAGTCGGAGAAAACACGGTCGAACGAAAACGTTTCTTACGAACGCTGCCTTTACGATGAGAGATATATGATTATGTTCTAGAGAAAAGTTGTAGAGCTTAATAATGCCTACAAAAAAGTCAGCGACAGCATATGTCTAACTTTTATATTTAAGTCACAAAAAGTAGTTTTTTATATTAAAAAAAATCATTTAAATCGGTAGGTCATGTTTATTGGTGATATTAACGACAATTATGAATTCTTATCAAAATAAGTAAATTTATCGTCTAAAATGTTTAAAATAAAAGACTTTTCCCTTTTACTGCATATAATTTGGACTAATAGTTAAAGAGATAATACAACATATTCGTATGTATGGACGAACCCAAACGAGCTGTTTATCTGTTTTTCTCTTTGTACGGGCTAATCTCCGGATCTATTGGACCTATTTAAATAAAATTTTGCATGGTGGTACCTTATATCCCCGGGCAACATCTTAGATACTTTTCATCCCGGAAAATTAAAGAGTTCCCGTGGGATAGTTAAAAAACTATAACAACTTATACAGCTTAGTACACAAAAACTACTGATTGGGTTTTAATGAAACTTTACAATAATATAGTTCATACATGACAAAAACAAATCAGCTGATTTTCATCCCGGAAAATTAAAGAGTTTCCGTGGGATGGTCAAAAAACTATAGTAACTTATACAGCTTAGTACACAAAAACCACTGATTGGATTTTGATGAAACTTTGCAATAATATAGTTCATACATCAGAATAACAAATAGGTAACTGTGTATCCCGGAAAAATGTACTTTTCCCGTGGGATAGATGTTTTTGTTTATTTGTAACGTATTATGTACACAACATAGACCCCAAAACAATAGTTATTAAAAAAATTGCATATTTGTCTGTTTGGCTATATGTCTGTTTGTCTGTTTTTGTGTGTGCGTTTCACGCGAAAAGTAATGTACCAATTTCAACAAAATTTGGTGAAATGATAACTTATTACTCGAGTCAACATTTAGGGTACCTTTTGTATGTATGTATGTATGTATGTTGTATTCAGCCCTTTTTAACACATGCACGGGCCTCCCTTCAGTACGAGGTGGATCAGGCCATAGTCCACCACGCTGGCCAAGTGCGGGTTGGTGGACTTCACATGTCTTTCGAAAACTTGCTAGGTTATGTCAGACATGCAGGTTTTCCTTCGCCGTTTAGACAAGTGATAACTGTGTTAGAAATGATTCGCATATGAAAATATCACTCGGTTTCCCAAGCGAGCGCGTTACCACTGGGATACCACTGCCTAGATACCTTTTACTTAAAAAAAATCTTTCTTTCCCACGGGAAAATTCAATAACTGGTTTTATCGAGTCCTCCCTAGAAACCTTCCTCTGACTAAGCCTTAAGAAATACATCAAAACAATATACTAAAAAATTGTAGGTCTTGAAAAGTCCTACAGAAAAGTTGTGAATAGTATATGTCTATCTTCTAAGTTACACTCGCAATATTTATTCTTATCTATACCTATAATAAAACTTAGTCAAATCGATGTGCGCGTTTCACGCAAAAAGTACTCAACCGATTTTAACTTAATTTTGTATAGTGATAAAACTTAGTGCTCGGGTCAACATTTAGAATACTTTTTACGACAGGCAAATTATTCATTCCCACGGGAAAATACAATAACTGGTTCTATCGAATTGCCCTCAGAAATTTATATGGCTAACGTTGGCTCAACCTTAAGAGATAGATCAAAACATTGTACAAGAAAATTGTAAGTCTTAAAAAGGTCTATAGAAAAGTTCTGATGATGATGTTCTCCTAGCCGATTTCGGCTACGGCGGCCAATCTCATTGAGATTAGCCAACTGCGCAGGAGATATTATAGTGCTCAAGTGTACGCGCAGACACAAGTGCACTCTCTATTCCTATCACTCTCATACTCCGGTGGGACGACCACTCGACACGACCGGTGAGAGTTAAGGCGCAGGACCGACGGCTTTACGTGCTCTCCGAGGCACGGGGGTGAAACACCGCCAACTTCCCAACTCCGGGCTGTTACTGAGACTTATTAGACAGAAAGACTCAATAACTAAACTTGGCCCGACCCGGGACTCGAACCCAGGACCTCCGGGTGTGCAGCCGTACATGCTAGCCACTACACCACCGAGGCACCAGAAAAGTTCTACATAGTATATGTCTATCTCCTAAGGTACACTCGTTATAACTATTTTCATTGTTATATATTTCTGTTTTATTATACGTTATTTATTCTATCTGAATATAGGTACATATATGAATAGTAAAACTGTAGAGGTCGAATGTCTGTACATAGATGGTAGAAAAAATTGCTAAAAAACGAGTCAGTTCTCTTCTTACATCCCGTAAGGAGAGAAATAGAACAAATCCAGATTTTTTCAATTTTTTGTTTCTCTGTCTGTTTGTCTGTTCGAACGGGCTAATCTCCGATACTATTGAACCTATTTAAATGAAATTTGATACTTTTCATTCCGGAAAATTAAAGAGTTCCCGTGGGATAGTTAAAAAATTATAGTAACTTATACAGCTCAGTACACAACAACTTATGCACCTAATTTAGAAAATTTGGCATTCTGATACCTTATATTGCAGGTCAAACAACAGGTTACTTATTTTATTTTATTTATTTTATTTTTATCCCGGAAAAATGAACGGTTCCCATGGGATAGATCTGTTTGTGCTTTTCTAGAGGTGAACCCGAGCGAAGCGAGGGTGAGCCGCTAGTTAAAAATATAGCATGCAGGTAATAATCTTATTATTCTCAAGGTTATAAGTAAAATGTATGAAATTGCGTTCCATACAATTTATACTCCAAAGAGGTGTTATAAAAACAAAGGGATCAAAATATTATAATAACTAATATATACATATGTATATGTCAGAATTTTCTGGAATATTTCGTATAAGCATCTGCCACATAAATAAATTCTAAGATATACATACATAAATCTTTGTTTCTTGTAATATAAAGCTTTAATCCATTTAAATATTTATGAAGCAAAGTAACGTACATTGCCTCGTGAACTGAAAATATGGTAATCCTTCTATTTTATGTGACTATTTAACCGACTTCCAAAAGGGAGGAGGTTCTCAATTCGTCGGAATCTTTTTTTTTATGTATGTTCACCGATTACTCGAAGACGCTTGAACCAATTTGGATTTTTTTTGTTTCTTAGGGGGGCTTTCCAGGTGGCCTCATATAAATTTTATCAAAATCAGTCAAGCAGTTTTAAAAAAATCAACAATAAATTATTTTTAAAAATAAATTGTCTAATCGAATATGTTATTAAAAAACTTTCTTCTTACAAATTACCTGCTTATTACGTCTACGCTACTAATGGAAAAATAAAAACTAAAAAAAAAAACCGACTTCTAGGCACAAAAATATAAAAAATAACTAAACGGAGGTTTTCATTTAGAATAGATACCTAATCAGATATTTTCGAAGTCGGTGCCAGCCGACAATATTTTAAGATATGAATATCTAATAAGTAAATATGTTTTTACGCATCGAAATATATTAAGATTTGCTTTGCATCGGTTGGCACCCACTTCGAAAATATCTGATTAGGTACGAGTATCTATTTTAAATGAAAACCCCCGTTTAGCTATTTTTTACATTTTTGTGCCTAGAAGTCGTTTTTTTTTTAAGTTTTTTTGAAATGCACATTACCACTACATATTATACAATTATGACATAATTATTACTGTAACAAAATTATACAAACGCTTATTAAAATTTGTTTATCATCTTGTACTTTATTTTGTATCTGTACCTATAGCTTATTACAATAGAGTTAAAGTATACATAAAATATTTATCGAAAAATGGAATGTAACAGAGGTTTCCAACAGTTACTTTTAACTGCAAATGTAAACTATTTAATTCTTTTTAATATCTTTATCTATATTTAAAAAAAAACTGAGTTGAATCTGTACATGAAATATTAAAAAAAAATCTTATTGAAAAGAACATTATTATCGATACAGAGACCGAATCTATAGTTTTTAGAATTTTTGTCTGTCTCTCTATGACTGCATAATGAAAAAACCAAAGATAGATTTTGAGGTATGAAGATAGCTTATCCAGGTCCACATATAGGATACTTTTTACTGCGGGGAAATATCTCATCTTTGAGAAATCTATACTAAACCTTAAAATGTAAGCTTAAATCGTAGGGTTGGGACGAAGCCGAGCGAAGCGAGAGTGATTCGCTAGTGCTTACTATAGCTATAACCTATTTTTTAAACATCAAAACTAATTTATAATTGGCAAAATATCGCGTAGGTAACATATAAACAAAAATAAAAATATAAAACCGTATCGAGTACTTTCTTCGTTTTGAAATCGTTCACAAAATCAATTGAGATCGGTTAGCGTTAGACGATACAATTGTGTATGTGACTATTGTGCGTAATAAAAGTATACTAGTGTAGCTTTACAGTACTTTTTACTTAAAAGCTAACTTTAATTCAATAAGCTTAATATTTATTTTTTATATAATATAGCTGTAGCTTTTATTGGCGAATATTTGCGATAGAAGATAATATTTAAATACTTATTTGTCCTGCTTTAACATAATATGTATGTATGTATGTATGTTTATTTTTTATCGACCTACCATTATACTTTAGACGTCTCAAAGGCGTTATATACTTGTTACAGACAGTACCTACTTATCGTTAATTTTACAAAATGTTTTTTTTTAATTCTAAACATTTTGTAATTTTTAATTAGTATTATAATTAAATATGGCGAGACGTCTAAGACCTTAGTCTGGAACGTGACCATGATTGTAAAGCATTCGAAACGTCGGGAACCAAAAATCTAAATAAATGAGCGAAATAACCCAAAAATTATAGTTTTATTTAAAAATACCTACCATAGATTAAATCTAGTACATAAATAAAAAAAAAGTGATTTGAATCATTAAAGAATTATTTACTTAACCCTTAAGTACTCGATTATTTATTCGCTAAGCTCTTCTTCAGTTCGTTACTAAAACACTAGTTGGCATCGGAAGTAAATCTATCTTAGTGATTCGAATACTTAATCAGCGCTAGTTACTTGGTTTCTGCATTTGAATTGATCTAGAACCAATACAGCTCACTTTTAAACCAATGCTTTATTTTATTTACAGTGTTTTATGATTGTACTTTTATATGGTTTGATATAATTTTCCATTTAATTTTTCGTTGTAACTGTTAAGTAATTTTCGATTAAAACATTTAATATCTTAAAATGGGATGATATTGTAATGTCTATTTTTTCAATTTGTAATTTAATTCTAATTTAATCAGAATACTATTGTAAATGCGAAAGTTTGTATGACGTATGTATGTATGTATGTGTGTGTGTTTGTGTAACTTTTACAGAATAATATGAATTTGAGAAAATTAACATAACAATAAATACAAGTTAAATAGTGATTGGGTTATAGCTTACCAACAAATTATATGTACATTAATTTTATATAACGTTTTCAATTTTTGTCTACAGCGTACCTTTGATGAGCATCGAACCGAGTATCCGGCGGAGATCTGGCGCCGATCAAACACATTAGCGAGTCAGGTGGTGCCAAAACTCTTAATTGTAGCGTTGCACGTGGATACCACCAGCGTCTTTCTTCTATCGCCACCGCCACCTGTAGGAAAACATAATAATGAGAGATACTATCTCACTTTAACTAAATAACTTGCTTAATATATTTTTAGGGCTATTATAACTATATCTTCTAAGAAATGCGACCTGAAAAGAGCAGTATTGAAGACTTACAAAAAAACTAACCAATATTTATCATGTATAAATGAATTAATCGGACTGAATGATTTACACTACTAAATTATAATAAAACTAGCAGAACTCGCGGCTTGGCTCGCGCTAAAACTACAAAAAAACCCTCTAAAATGTTAGATTTTATACAAATTTTCATCCGCTATTTTACCCCCTTATGGGATGAGTTTTGAAAAATGCTAAAACACTTATTTAATTAATTGTGGTGATGAATATTTATACTAAGTTTTAAGTAATTCTGATTATAATTTTTTTTAGATTGTATTACAACGTGTTTTCCCGCAAGAAAGAGATAATCTCCCGCGGTAAAAAGTAGCCTATGTCACTGTCCAGCCCTCCAACTATCTCCACACAAAAAATCATGCCAATCGGCCAAGCCGTTTCAACGTGGATGAAAGACAAACAAACAAACACATTTTCACATTTATAATATTAGTATAGATATGTGACAATTACAGTTATTGAAGTATGTGTGTATGTTTATTAATCCATTACGTTAAAACGGCTGAACGAATTTGGATGAAATTTAGTATACCTATATAGACGTGGAGTAACATATAGACAAGGTACTACTAAGCACCTAAGTATTCATCAGAGCGAAGCAAAAGTACGCCGCTATTAGTTTATAAGATACCAGTATTCAGTTTGCTGCTTTATTTTATTAGAAAACATACTATATTTGTATGTTACCTAGGTATATATTTGCGTATGCATCTGAAGGAGAACAAGTTTTAAGTGTTAACTCACTTAAGCCGCATGTCAAGTTACTTGGTAAAAGTTAAAACTAAGTTGTGTTTATTTCCTGTTTCGGTATCAAAAGCTTTAAATAAAATTGTATTACTTATACATTTTTTGCAGATTCTTAGATTTTCTTAAACTTATTAAGACCTGTACTCGTGGAAATTAAAATATTCCTATCTAAAAAAAGGAAGAGTAGAGTCACGTGATTTGAAAAAATGTATTTAAATATAAACAAGTTAAAATTGATATAATTTAAATATTTTTTTTCAAGTTTTTCGTATCGAATATCAATCTTTTTTATGATAAAGTTTTAAAATTCAGTAAAAATCAATATTTAAAAAAATATCCTATGTAATATTCCATATATAAGTTATTTATAATAAATAGTTGTATATATAAGTCTGTCAGTTATTCTAAGGGAACTGTTTGATAAAATTTACTTTTAGCGCACTCAATATATGAATCCATTATATAAATTAAGATATTAATGACCCAAATAAAATTTACTATCAAAATTAAATATAATTACAAACAAATTTTAGTTTCATGGCTTTGTAAGTAACAAAAATAAATATATTTTAATACAGGCTTTTAGCTTATAACGTGAAATTTATTAAAAAAAAATGGTTATAGCTGTCTTTTGCAACAATCTAAACATACATTAAGAAATAGGAAAATTTAATTACTTTACAATCTTAAAACACAAAAAAATTAAAAACGCCAAGAAAACTGTCTCCCAAAGTTACAAATGTCTACTTATTATGACAATGAAAGCTTATTAACTAAATTGAGTTTAACTAAGCGAGCCCAAATTTCAAAGATACTATAAATTTAAACTAAGAGTTTCGTGTTTATTTAATATTTATCCCAATTATAAGGCCTTCTGACTCGTCCTCTTTGTAACTGAACTGACGCCTACAGTGCCTAATTAGTGTCTTGTTGATTTTCAGAATCCATTCTCTTCATGCTTGTACAGGTACAAAGCCTTTTGGTAAAATTGTTGATTACATATTATATAGCCTATTATTTAATTTCCATAATATTACCATCATACGTAGAAACTATTACTGTTACAGTTAACCCACATCATCCCACTGCTGGGTTTTCCCACTGGGTCCTCTACGTTTCCAAGTTTTGCGATCGATATATATAGATGATCGATACGATCCAAATTTGCCTATTCTTGCGGTCTTGCGCAAGAATAATCGAATTTGAAAAAAAAAATCGATCCATACGCACAAAGTTCTTACAAAACTTAGAATATGATTTTAGTCTTTGTTTTAGCTCTATTATATAGTTAATTCAATTTCACTTAAATGATATCTCTAATTTATAAACATGACTATATAACGTAGTTTTCAAAGCTCTATACAAACAATTAGAATATATTCAGCATATTAACAGTTCAATTTACATATACATGCCTCCAATATTAAATCTTATGTTTCAAAGGCTGAATGCAAATAAGCCATGTACGCTCTGAAATACTTCTAAGAAATGCTTGAGTTCTATTAATGTTGATTTCGATAGGCAATATTAATAAAACCTTTAAGATGAGGATTAATAGGGATGCCCTTTTTTAATTTGTACTAATAACATCTCCAGTGTAATCATTTTCGGTAATTTTGAGGAGATAATTTCCTCTTACAAAATTGTACCATCTAGGAATTACATCGATTATTTTGAGGAAAACAAGTAAAATAATACACATCATTAAATAATTATATTAAAATTAAATAATTAAATCTTTTACGTACATATATGATGTGTAATATAAATACATATGTGCATATATGTATGGGATTTCTTTGAAATTTGTTCAATGAAATCCCATAACTACTAAACTAAAGTATAATTTTTCAAGATTTCTTATCACTAAATCACTCTGGCCGTTTAGAATAATATAATACACAAAAATGCAAATAGCACTAGTAAGGCTAATGTAAAATAATTTACCACCGACATATCGACATCCCATTGAATGCAAAAAAATAATAATGTTCTTTAATGTTTTTTTTTTTAAATTAATAATTCTAAAACGTACAGACAAACGAAATTTTTTTTCATAATAGTGTAAAATTGCTACTTCTAATAGTACCTACCTGCAGCTACATCAATAATATCGCTCGTAGCACTAACAAAGCTTTACGAATGTGCAGCTGTTTAACAGCTATAATACAAGTATCAAGGGATTTAATTAACGGGCAGCTTAATGTGTATCAATTTGTTGTTGGCGAGGTCTACAATTAAGATGGGCTCTGCTTCATTGGGAATCGATTTAATATCGAATTAATGAGTACAAAACCAATTTCCCCATCAATATAGAGCTAAGAGAGTTTTCTATGGTTTTGATCAAAAAATAAATATTATTACCAAACGTAACCTAATAATTATAAATAAAAAAAATTAAAAACCCCCTACGCAAATTAATTGTTATTTAACGATAACACTGGCACGCGTGAAGCACTTAATCGAGTAATCATACGTCAAAATGAATTACATTATTTTGGAAAAGAGCTGATACTCTTACACTGCTGGACCGATATTAACCAAACATAGCATGGAAACTGGCTTTCAAATTAAAAAAAAACGCATTGAAATCGGTCCATCCGTTTGAGAGCTACGATGCCACAGACAGACACACATACAGACATCGACGACAAACTTATAACACCCCTCTTTTTGCGTCGGGGGTTAAAAAGAAAGTTATATTTTATCAATCTATCATTAATATTACCCTTTGGGCATTGAACTAAGACGTTTGGTTCATTAATAATTACGTTATGTCTAAATGGCACTTTTAGTCGTCCTAAGTTAGTTTCTTTAATATTTAGAATACCTTAAAACTCTACAGGTGATACTTTTAATGCAAGAAGGTCTGTGTACTCTGTTATAAAATTAATCTAGAAAAAGTGCTGAGAGGATGGATGTACGTCGTTTAAGTAGACTTCGTGAAAATTATTATTAATATTATTATGCAGTCTGTACCTTAATAGTACTTCAAAGATCTTAGTTAAAATTTTACATTTATTTTTTCAAATTAAGAATTTTATTCTATTAGTAAATATATGTCTGCTTTCTTGGTTTTTAGAATGAATCAAATATTACAGAAAAACATTATAACGATAAGTAGTGTTGGTTATCTTGAATCTGAATTTGAACGAGTATGTTTCACGATGCAAAGTTTTATTATGCCATTTTACGCAAAATAAATTATGAGAATGATAGTCTATACATATGATAAAATTCTAACCGAGACGAATCTGTACATTATATATTTTTTGGAAAATCTTTCTGAAATAGTCATTTTTATCGATACCGAGGCCAAATCTATAGTTTTTAGAATTTTTGTCTGTCTGTCTATCTGTAACCGCATAGCGAGAAAATCACTAAACAGATTTTGATGAAATTTGCTATAATGATAGCTGGTCATCCGGGTCAAAATATAGAATACTGCAGGAAAATTTCGCATCTCTGAGAAATCTATACTAAGTGTTAAAACGTATCTAGGGACAAACACGAGCGGAGCGATGGTGAGTTGCTAGTGAACCCTATTTTTATTAAAATATAGTCTATGTGTAACGCTCTCCTTAAAATACTATCCTGTTAAGAATAGTTACTTAAGTAAGTAAGGTTTAATGTGCTTATGGCTTCATGAATATCAGCCATCATTTTTTACGAAACTTTTTCAGTTGCGAAATATATAATAAAAGAATCGAGAGACTAATTTCAGTATTCTTATTCCTTTTGTCTTATCTCTTCTTTGAAGAGCGATATTTGGATTGCGGTACTAAGCGCTTCTCTTTGTTGTTATCAAATCGGATAAAACATCTATAAACATATAATAGAAAAACTTAATAATAAAAAACTTCATAATAGAGTCGAATATACGAACTCCGACATATTAGAAAATTCAGTTATATTCATATCCCATTATACACAACTAACGACTCGACCTCGCTTCGCTCGGGTTCGTCCTTAGATTCGTTTTGATGGTTAGTATGGAATAGATAAACATATAATAGATATATTATATATATATATATATATATATATATATATATATATATATATATATATATATATAATATTAGTATAGATTCCACGTAAATTTCAAAAAGATGCTTAAATTCAATACTTTACATAATATTATGGTATCCGAACTCATAATAATTAGTTTTGAAATTTTCGCACTCTACAATAATTTTGTGAAAGCAATACAATAATTTGCAGAATAATATCATACGTTTTTCTTTGTTACAGCTATTTGTTATTCCGTATGGATACATATTTTAATACATTCCAAAGCACAGCATTCCCAATTTCATTTGTACTAAATTTTCCAAACAATTTCACGCAAAAAATACAAGCTACAGCAAAAACCGCAACGTTTTAATTCTGGAATCGGAGGGAGAGAATGTCACAATTTGTTTTCTTCATATTTTTATCCGACCCTCGTACGATCGTGGGTTGAATTTAACACATTACATACATATTTTAATTGATAAAATATGTATGTAATTGGATTAAAGATTCTTTATCGTAAATCTTACTGGAAGAGACATTTGTTAAGATAAATTATCCTTGTAAGAGCATCGATATTCTGTAAAGAGCTTTATAAATAGATTTGGTGTTATCGTAATCAGAGCTTCGCCGAGCAAACTCAAAAGTAAAACCTAATAGGCTCGAAGTTAAATAACTTTCATAATTATCACTTAATAAAGAACGCATTGTTTTAATAATTTTAATAACAAGTTAAGAGTATTATTTAAAGACGCTTTTCCCTTTAGAAATGTGTATTTTTCTTTACTTTCAACGTTTTTGGAAATTATTTAGGATTGAAAGATTGATTGAAAAAGAAATATTTCGCCTTGAGAATATCTAAGTAATAGGTATAAAATGTCCCAAATAAGCCCATCGATTACGACGTGACTAACATAATATGAAAATAAAAAAAAAGAAGATATTCCTTTTAACCAAATATAAATTTAATAGAACGACATCATCAAATAACAACGTCCTAATAAACACAAAGCTTAGCTGAATCTCTATTACCTGAAATTGAACACAAATAGCATTCTAACAACTGGACTAGTCGAAGGACATTAGGTAAATCTGCACATATTTCATCTGGCTCGAGTTGTTCCATAGTGAACCTTATGCTGGATGAACTTACCTCTTTATGTAGCAATCGGACATGAAAGCTGGCGACGTCACTCACAGGCTCGCCCGCCTCCGTGACGTAGTAAACGAGTAGTGAACTGACCGGCGCCATGTCAGCTGTCACTGGAAATCTGGGGGTCAAACGGATATTGTTAAGTCGACCCCATTTCTGTATTAGATTATTTCAGATAGAAGAATTTTATGTTGGAAATCTTTTATAGTTTTCGTTTTAAATATATGCAGATAGGAAAATATTATTTGAATCTTATGTTGCTTTAAGACACAGCCAGTGTCAATAAATTAATTTAAATTAATATCATCATACTGTTTGTATGATATTCTAGTATAATGATATATTACAAAGCATATATGACTTGTACTGTAATTGTTAAGTGTACATATTTTGTCATATTCGCAATTACACAATAAAATTAAAAAATATATTAAAAGGAAAATTCTTATATTAATTAAGATAATGGAAGATTATGTACGTTGTACATAAATCATAACCAAAAAATATATACGTTCTCAAATATTAATAATGTAGCCATCATAGAAAATATAAAAATAAGCTCAGTCATTCGATGATACTGTAAAACTAAAATGAAAATTGGGACAAAAAACACGTATCGGAATTGTAAATTGTGAAACACAAACAATGCGGTTATGATATAACAGGCGTGTGACGAGGACTTATCGGCTGTCAGGGTGCCCGGGGTGAAATGGATAACATAGGTGACGTCCGACCGGGTCCGGACAATGCCATGTTTTGTTACATGTTACAGTTTGTAGGCTGACAACGTTAGATTCCAATATGTGAATTGTATTCTAAAATTGTAACCTCAAATTTTAGTTAGACTAATTCGACGAAGAAGGAAATTCGACCGATATCATTATTGAAAATGTGAGGAAAACATATAACAATAGAATATACGTATCTACGAGTATATACTATAAAAAACTGACCTTTCCATTTTTTTAAATTAATAACATTAAAGCTTATCTATAGGTACTAAACAAAAAAAGAAGAAAATAGAGAAAGAAAAAAAAACGTGTGTGTGTATTTATGTACGTTTGTAAGAAGTTATAGTTCTTTGGCGTATCAGAACAAAAATACCTAAAGATTTCATCCCGCATGTCACAAATCTCTGGTTGTAAAAGGAATAATAAAATAATTAAAAGCATATTAGGCATATTACAATCATATATTTATAGAATATTATTTAAGGAAAGAATATAATATTATATATATCATTTGTCACACAACAACAACGGTTACCATGGCAAGAAACAGTTATCAACTAACTTCATCATGCGCTTTCAGCTAACTTTATCATGTCGCGTTTTGGCTGTCGCATCGTAAAAATTTAACTCTCATACTTTTTTCCAAACGTCCAAAAGAAGTATAACTTAAAAAATAAGGAACTGTGTTACCTTTGACAAAGTTTTGATGTCGCACCGATATTTATATCTAGTAAAAAAATCTATGAAATACCAATAAGCAAATGAACTCACGTTCACATACCTGCAGGATTAACTTAAATAAAATTTACTGTGCGGTAATTATTCTTTCGGCCCACTCAATTTTCAATTCCCCAGAATCCGTGCTGTATAATAAAATGGACCAAATTTGTATCTTTCGTATCGAGGGTAGGTATTAATGGCTTCGCCTCTTTTTTAATAACTTCGTCAATCGCTCTAGGTTTTACGAATTTCAGAACCAATTCGGCCTGTATTAAATTCGCTGTTTATTTAAAGCCTTTAAAAATTACGTGCGTTTTTTATGTATAATAAAGAACTTATATTCTTAGTTTAAAATGTAATAGGATAGATTTCTTTTTTCAAATATTTATGATTTATGTATGTATTTAAATTTATTTAATATGTGTTGTGTATTAATTATCTGGTATTCATAATACAGGCCTCGTTGCTTACCATGCGAAGCACAAGCAGTAACTTGTTAATAATATTTAACTAGCGACTCACCCTCGCTTCGCTCAGGTTCATCCCTAGCTTGCTTCCCCATACAAATTTTCATCCCCATTTTCACCCCCTTAAAGGATAATTACCGAGATAAAAAGCATCCTATGTCCTTCCCATGATCTTAAATTATCTTCTTACCAAATTTCTACTCAATCGGTTTTATAGATCCAGAGGTTACCCCCTACAACGTCACAAACTGACAAACTCACAAAACATCTTTATAATATTAGTATAGATAAAGAAAGCAGAGATAAAGTCAATCTGCTCGAACTTTATATATGGTACATAGATATCAAACTTAATGGATTTCCGTAATAGAAAACCGTCAGATACAATACATGGATGTTATTCAATGATCTATCGACCTTTACACAAACTTTCTCCATTACGGCCTCTACCCGCCTATAGACGTCTCTTTAACTTAAATTACTTTTGAAGTTTAAATGAATAGTTTCTTAATAGCCTCATAAATGGATATTTAGAAACTACAAGATGTTTTAAGGACAAAAGTTACTGCGCACTTTTTTATTAAATCGTGCAATTTCTTTTGTCTTCGATCATGTATTTATAAAATACAGTGTAGTCAATACATTGTAGTTATAAAAAGATGTCTAACATTTTTTTTTTATTATGTAGTAGCATTGCCAGCGGCACCGCTCGCGTTCAGATGACCAAAAACCAAATTCTTAGGTTTTACATATTAGTATACTCTTACATTGGAGTTTCTGTATTTTTTCACAGAAATAAGATATTTTCCCGCGGTAAAAAGAATCCTATATGTTGACCCGGATAGTCAGCTATCACCATACCAAATTTCATCAAAATCCCTACAGTGGTTTTTCTGTGATGCGGTAACAGACAGACAGACAAAAATTCTAAAAACTATAGATTCGTCCTCCGTGTCGATAATAATGTTTATTTCTATAAGATTTTCCAAAAAAATATATTTAATGTACAGATTCGGCTTAGTTACAATTTTATTATATAAACTAGCGACTCATCCTCGCTCCCTACTTACGCTTTAACGTTAAGTATAGATTTCTCAGAGTTGAGATATTTTCCCACAGTAAAAAGTATCCTATATGTTGATCCGGGTAATCAGCTATCATCATATCAAATTTCATTTTTCCGTGATGCGGTCACGGACAGAAAGACAGACAGACAAAGTCAAAACTTTTAAAAACTGTAGGTTGTCTATTCCAATAAGATTTTCTAAAAAATATTTAATGTATAGACTCGGCTTAGTTACATTTTCAACCGACTTCAAAAAGGAGGAGGTTCTCAATTTGATTGTATTTTTTTTTATGTTTGTTACCTCAGAACTCCGTCATTTATTAACCGATTTGGACATTTTTTGTGTTGTTTGAAAGTGTATACTTCCAGATTGGTTCCATTTAAATTTCAAAAACAAAATACTACCCCTAAGGGTGGAAAAATAGCTAATGATGAATTTAACCTACTTCTAATTGTCATATTGACTTGAAACTTTGCAAGTATTTCTAATTCCGTTGATAGTACAGTGGTTCGGTGTTGTTGACCTGATCTGATGGCAAGGCCAAAAGGTGGATAGGTGGAACTGTTCAACGTCTAATAGTAGACACTTTGAGTTTGGGCTTATTTTGTTTGATTTGACAAGCCTAACACGTTAGAATCCTTACTTTGCTACCACTGTCTACACTAAAAAGGGAAAAATAAAAACTTTTTAACAAAAAAATAAAAACCGACTTCAAACAAAAGCACTAAAAAGTAAAAAATAACTGATTAGTAGTTTTCATTTACTATACATACCTAATCAAATATTTTCGAAATCGGTGCCAGCCCATACAAAGCAAAGCTTTTTAATTTTAAAAGGTTTTTATTTTTTTGTTAAAAAGTTTTATTATATGTATAGATTTAAAGTTTAAAATCAATAATTTATAACTCTGAAACTGCTATGAGCACTGCACTGTACGTGCTCAATTATGCTAGAGTTATTGAATTCGTTACTGCTAAATAACATAGTGTAACGAAGTACCTGAAATGATAGAGAGACATGCAAAATATTGCATATATATATAGTCGGGTGGATAAACAAAAATATCGAAGCCTTTATATTCAAATATATATTCACAATGCAATTGCCAAACACTATGTTCTGATGTTTATGCAAGTAATATTTTTCTTTTTATTAAGACAACAAAAGTCCCAAGGTCCCGATCCTCCCGAATAGAATGATCCTCTTTAAGACAAGCATAATTCATAAGATGTGGGGCACCGGGTCTCTGGGGGCCGCTTCATCTTTCTGTCCAACCCGGAAGATTATTGGTTTTTTTATGAAATTATTATAACAAATTTAAACATATATTGATGGTATAAGATCAATGGGGTGCAAAAATGTAGTGGAAATAATGATTCATTAAAATCAAATATTATTAATTAACTAGCTATTTTTCCGCACTAAAAAGTATTCTATATGTTGACCCGGATAACCAGCTATCACCATACTAAACTTCATCAATATCTGTCAAGTGGTTTTCTCGTGATGCGTTCACAGACTGATAGACAAAAATTCTAAAAACTATAGATTCGGCTTCTGTATCGATAATAATGTCTATTTCAATTAGATTTTCCAAAAAATAATTAATGTACAGATTTGACTCAGTTACAATTTTATTATATGTATAGATTACAAACAGCTATACAAACAAATAAATTAGCACACTAAATTTACCATAACGAAAATAAATACCTTTACACTAAACTAAAATAAAACAATTTTGTACAGAGACACATTGCCTTGTAACGCAATAATATAGGCGAGTATTGTCCCAGCGCGTACCAAAACAATTTGTATCCTGTCAGCAAACGATACCCCCGGGGATCAAATTACATTGATTCATTAGTGAATCCCTTATACACGTGACATGACGGATTAATTTTAAATAAATCAACATATAATACTTTCTTTACTTAACACTATTTTTTAATAATGATATGTTGGGACATTATCACGCAGCACCATCTAGTTCCATGGTAAGCTACGAGGCTTGTGTCATGGATACCAGATAGTTGATACACTACACATATATAACTATAAATATATACATATTATAAATATAAATACCCATGACTGCAGTACAAACATTCGTGTTTATCACACAAATAAATG